CATAGCAGGGGATCAATAGCACCTAGACAATGTATAATTCAAAGTTATAGCTAAAAAGAAAGCCACTAGTGGAACCAAAGAAACGACAGCAAACGTAGATAATATAATTGATAGTGTTCAGTATCGATTACTTATTCATTACGCATCCCCTTACCTCTCCTTCCTATCAGAGCCCTGTGTTCACATATCCTTCTCCTTCTCACTGTCATGGGCCCTGGGGCATTCTTTATTGACTGAAGATCCTCCGGCCCTGCGGGGGACATCTGATGTTGTCTGGAGAGGTTTTTGATTCTCACAAAGAGGTACAGTACTCCTGGCATTAGGGTAGAAGCCAGGATGAGGTGGCTGGCTCTAGGACAAATCCTATGTGTGATCGTTCAGATCTTATCTTAGGCCACTCCAAAGGCTTTGCCGGGCAGGATTCATGGGGAAAGGCTGCCCTTCCCACATAGTTCCCCAAAGGAATTAGTCATTCCCCCTGGGCCTGCGTGGTCAGAGGCGTTATCTGTATTCCTAGCAGACACCTTCATTCACAGGCCGCCTGAGGAGACCTTGGCTGAGGCACATTTTAGGTCCCTCCACTGAGACCCCCTCATGGGGCGGCCTTGACCAAGACCCTGTTCTCCACTATGACGCGGTTTTCTCACTCCTGGCCTTCCCCTTGGTTTATAAAGCAGCAGGAACCGTTGCTCCAGGCTCTCAGCAGACAGTCTCCTCCACCTGTGTATCCGTCATTTGACCGGCCCTTGCCCAGGGCCACCCCACAGCGAGTGGGAGGCTGGACGGTGAGGCGCAAGCTCTCCTGCCCTACTTTCCTTTTCGGCCTCTCACTTACCATACTAAACAAACAGACTTGTTACTTTCATTTTTGCTCACTGTGTCACTTTTGTAGCTTGGCACAGGGATACTGCAAAACATTCTACAATGTACCTAACCGCCTCCAAAAGTGAATCACCCTCTCTAGAGTATCAGCGGTGCTGAGGCTTTGCAGGGAACGTGACCCCATCGCCAGCTCTAGGGTCAGAGAATTCTCCTGGTGAATGTTATTCATCCAGAGAGTGGACAGATGACCAAAGAAGTCAGCTCAGTCACAGTGAAGTAGAAGGCTTACAATTCCATGGCTGAAGGAGTTTTCCTCCGTTTCTATTGTGCTGGACATGAACACAGCAACATGCAGCCATCCTGTGAACACGAGGCAAAACAACTCTGGGATCAAGTATTCTTGGAGGAGACCAGGAGGGAACCTGGGCCCTTGATGACATGCCTGACAGAACTGTGGCTGGACTCACCAACTTTGTACCTTCAGAAATGTTTACAACAAATCTCCTTAGAACTTTAAGTCAATTCCAGTTGAAGTTTTTCTTACTTGCAATGAAAAGTATCCCTCTACAAAAAGATAAACTAAACAATAATACCAGAAAGCATAACTTAAGAGCAGATATATTACATATAAATGAATACAATTACACTAACTAATATATGAAATAAGATACTAAAATAGAATCACAAAGCAAAATCTACCACATAGTATTGTATATTAAAATAAAATCCCTAAATCAATCGACCCAATATAAAAAATAAAATGACAAATAAAGGTGTATCACGCAAATGCAAGCCAAACTAAAATAGGTCATAATCATAGTATCTGGAATTTCAAAAGCATCCAATGAGGAGAAAAATAATATTATAAAAATATAAAGGTAAACATAAAACTCACAGTGGAAATCTGACAATTGTGAGTTCATAAGCAACATATTGTACAGAAAACATAGCCACATATGGTACAGAAAAAAAGTAAAAAACCAAAGAAAATAAAAGGAGAACTTGACAATAATCTGTAAATGGAATGTTTAACTTACCTCTCTCTCAAATCATGACTAAGCACACAGACCAAAAAGGCTATAGAAAATCTAAGTATCTTTAATCCCAATATAATTCATATAGTATAAAACAATACATACATTTTATATAGCCTCCATTCTCTGAAGTGACTAGACCTTCCACAAAAATTGACCCATATAAAGAAAACTTGACATGGCAATAGTTTTGATACCCAGGATTCCACACACAGGGATAGCTGTTTCTTCTTAGACTCCTGATCACAAAGGACTCCAGAAGCGTGAAAACTGTTGCCATGGGTAAGAATGCTGCTGTGTGTGGCAAGACCAGGTACAAAGAAAGAGAATTAGAGAGGGGCCGGAGAGGGCATTCTGGGCCCTCACAGAAGTCACCCCAAACTGACCAAGGATAGCACAGTGGCCCTCACTGTCCAGATAACAAGGCAGGGTAAACTGACAAAAACTAGTGGGCGCTCTATGCAAGGCAAACTGTGATAAGCACACAAGGAAAGACTGAGAACTTTGTACGAAAGTGCATTACACAAGACAAAAAAGCAAATTCTTCGTTCAAACTGGCGTGGAACTAAATAGTGGAAGTGTAAGGTAGATCAGTCAGCAGAACCTGGAGAAAAATCTGGGTGACCTGATTTAAAAAAAAAAAAAAGACTTCCTTTGTCTAGTTTTAACAAGATAGTTCTTGAAAACTATCACTTAACTTTTCTCTAATAATGCCATCTACTAACCTCGTGCTCTAGGTATATGTATAAAAAGTATACTGTCACATGTATACTGGTCTCCTGCTGCCTCCATTTCCTGCTCAAAGGAAACATGACATAAAGTGTTTTGCACACTTCTTCCCCATAACCCGAGACTATACAATATGCCCAGAACGTTTGCTGGTTGTTAAGAGTGGACTGCAAGACCTCATTAGAACCACAGCAGCAGAACTTGCTGGCTCTGGACTTCAAGGGCAAAAATTGGGTCTGAGTTCACACACAGGGTTTTTAAGGGTGAAAAGACTGAATAACGCACTATGAAGACTAACATGCCAGGATAAAGAGAACACCTCAGGCTGCACCTTCCCATCTCTTTGCTGGTTGGAGGATTAGGCTGTGAGAAGAAATATCTTCTAGTATTTAAAACAAACAAAAAGCACACTTTATGGGGACAGAATCAAGTGAGAAACAGATGCTTCAGTCAAACTTCCGCTGAATGGTGAGTAACTAAATTTCTCGCTCTTATATAGAAGACTTTTTGTTTTGGAAAATGAATCTAAGATCCTTGTAAATATAACTGTCCTGCTTACACAGCAGTGTTACCAAGTTCGGTGACTTCAGTGAAATTCTAGTTCTCGTGTAACCACGGGGAAACGTGACTTGTACTGAACTTCCTAGTTAATTTCTAGGGAAGATATTGCAACAGCTATGGCTAAGACTACGAAATTCTATCTAATATCTAAGATGAGCACTGTTGAATATTAAAATAGTTTCCTTCTTTCTACTCTGAAAGCTAAAAGTAAAGGGACAAAGAAAAGAATAAAAAAATAATTTGCCATTTAAGTCATCCTCTGATTCCAGAAATAAAATATTTTAATTCAATTCCACTGAAAAAATAAAAGCAGTTTCTTTACTCCGACAATGAGCACATTAACCACATTTTCACATACAGAAAGCTTAGGTACATTCAACCGTTTACAAAACATGTCTCCATAATACATTTACATTCATGTGAAGTACTGACATACTAACTTATATAACTGTACATATTTGTGACTTTTGCATCTAGTACCTTTTAAAACAAACCTGTAATATGCTTAATTTCTCAAAGTCAGTTCATATATGATGATTTAAGGTTAGGAGTCTCTACTGAAGAACTTTAATAGATGCATTCATACAAGAATTCAGTAATTTTTCTAAACCTCAGTCTCAAACTAAAGCTTTAGCAATTTAAGTTACCTGACTAGCAATGGATGAATTCTTATCAAGATGTACTGTTTGGTTTATAGTTTAAGTCATTTCAATTGGTTTATAATTATTTGTGCATCAGGGGAAAATAAGCACCAAGGATAATAAATATTTTTCACATCATAGATGAAATCACAATACAATAATCTCAATGTTCCTCCAAAATCTAATAATTTGAAGTAAGCATTTATTTCAAATGCTCAATCTTTAAGTTTTCTTAGTGAGATCAACTGACATTCTAAAGATAAGAATAGAAATGGTAAAAACAGGTGCTTCAAATCATATCTACTGACAGCGGAATTCAGATATTCTCCTTACACTGATGAGGTTCATTTTGGAATTCAGTTTTTCAGATCTAAAAAGAATTCTGAAAATAACTAACACTTATAAACTTGTCAACTATATCTCTTAAAAAGAAACTCTAAAGATGTCTTTCTTGCCAATATATGAAGCAAAAAACTTCCTGATGAACAAAAGCACCTTATGGTAAGGAAATATATAAAGAAAATATTTTCTACAAATTAATGTACAAATTTATGTGCATAAAGGTATAGTTATCCCAGCTGCACATATTTTAAATTAAACACAATAAAAAAATTCAAAGCACAGATTGAAAAAATAACCCATACGCCAATATTCCAGTTATTAAATATTGCAGCATATATGTAATTATAACAACTGGGGGAAGAAAGTTTCTATTCTAAACTGTGGTCAATGAAATCTCTTTGGAAATATGCTTTTTAAGAAGTCTCCAGTACAGCCATCAGATTTCAAGCTACAGGATTTTACAGCCAAGATGCAACCCCATGAAAATGAACATGTACAGAGACCGCCTCACAGACTCTTCAGTAACCATCGCCACTATGTGACAGGGGCAGGCTGTCACGGTCCTTTTCTTTACCATGGGCACATGGCACATATCACATTAACAATGGATCTTTATCACCCTAAGTTCTGCTGCTCATAAAAAGCTAATAAACATTGTTCTCAAACACTTCCAGATCATGACAAAAATTCCTTACCTGAATATATACAAAGAATTCTCTACATTTAATCTATCTTTAAATGAATACAGAGATGTACAAGGAGACACAAATTACTTGCTTTGATATTTTTCAGTCAAGGTTTATTACACGCCTTTTTTTCCCTACTGAATACGTGATTTTTATAAGGAGTTCCAGCTTCTGCTTAGAAGAGTTCATTTTTTTTTCAAAGTATTTTTTTTGTGTTCATGCATTTCTGTTTTGCTAGTCACGCCCTTTTTTCGCGATGAGGTATTAGGAGCAGCTGTAGTAGAAGGTCCGCTGGGAGCTATACAAAAAAAAAAAAAAAAGAAAGAAAAATTACGGCTTAGATTTTCATGAGCAATCCAAGTTCAAATAATACAAAACAATCAACAAAAGATCAAATAACACAAAACTTCTCTTTTTCCCTACATTCTTCCTGGGAAACTAATTTATTCCATCATTTTTAACTATCACTACTGTGCTGCACTGTGTTAAGTTACTTCAGTCGGGTCTGACTTTTTGTGACCCCATGGACTGCAGCCCACCAGGCTCCTCTGTCTGTGGGGTTCTCCAGGCAAGAATACTGGAGTGGGTTGCCACGCCCTCCTCCAGGGGATCTTCCCGACCCGGGGACTGAACTCGCATCTCTGAGGTCTCCTGCATTGGCAGGCGGGTTTCTTTACCACCAGCGCCACCTAGGAAGCCATAATGACTATGCTAACAGCCTTCAAATTTATACTTCTGGCCCAGGCTTTCTCCCTTACCTCAAGATCTGTATATCCTACTAGAAACCCCTATATAAATACTGGATGGGAAATATAAACTTAACATGTTTAAAACTGAACTCATCAATTTCCCTACCAACATCTATTTTCTTTGGTATTACCTATCTTACCACTGTCTAAAAAGCTGAAAGATTAGAAAACTAGAAACATTCTTGACTCAGGAATCATCCTTTTATATCCAAACTAACCTCAAGCCCCAGTTAGTTATCAAAAAATTATTCTAAGTTACACTTCTGTATGGATTGGTAAGGTCCTGCAGATGAATCTTCCTGCAGATAACAAGTATAAGCTCCGAATAAAATATGAAAAAAACAATTATATGAAGACACTGAAGAGGGAACAAAAGCAGCGATATACTAGAAAAGAATCAATACTTGAAAGAAGGGAACAGCATGAAATTAGTTTCCCTGTCCTTTGAAAGAAAAAAAAAACTAAAGCTTTGGCTTAAGGATAGGGTCCAGCGTGCACCATGTGCAATGCCTAAAACGACAACATAAAACTCAGTCTTTCCAGTACGGAGCACCAGAAAAGTACTGACGCAACAACAGTGGCTGGAAAGCCAGGTGGGAAATTCCAATTCTTTGTGTAAACACTGATCCAATGTATGAGTTCAGCAGAATAAGCTCCAAAGAAGTCCATTTCAGACTAAAGCCAGTGAAGTGAAATGTGAGCTGTCAGTTACGTCAGGGGACATAGTATCGCAATCTAAGTTCAGCCAAGGTCAATACTTTGCTTTAAAAAAAAAACCCAAACAACCCAATACTCTTTGTAGGAACATAAGAGAAAAACAGAGTCAAGAGTTGATCTAGAATACAATCCAAAATTACTCAATATATGAAAAACATGGAAAAAAACTTCCTTCTTGGGAATGGGTACGTTCATAAGAGATCAATCCTGAGAACAGCCTAACAGACAGGAATTTTAAAGCAACTATTTTAACTACGCTCAAGAACAAAGGAAAATATTCATATAATGAATAAAAATATAGGAAATCTCTGAATGAAAAAAACTATAAAGAATCAAAACAAATGCCTAAAACTAAAGAATAAATACCTGAAATAAAAATTCACTGGATGGTTTAACAGCAGAATGCAGATGACAAGTAAAAGTGACTATCAACCAGGATTTTATTACCAAAAAAAAAAAAAAGTCCAAGGCATGCCACAGTCAAACTTCTGAGAACCAAAGATAGAGCAAAAACACTGAAAGTTGGCAGAGAAAAGAAATTCATCAACCCACTGCATACATAAGAACAAGTCTTCAAATTAACAAGGACTTCTCATCAGCAACAAGGGGAATGAGAAGAAAGTGGAACAACATCCTTAAAATGCTGAAAGAAAAACCTTTAGAGGTTCTCTGTTGAGCAAAACTACCTTTCAAGAATGAAGGTAAAATAAAGATTATTTTCAGATAGAGTAACAAACATGAAGTATAAGAAATAGTAAAAAGATTCAGGTAGAATCCAGGCTGAACAGAAAAGCAAGAGAAGACAGTCCATAAATCAGTTCAGAAGACTGTGAGTATCAAATATATTTTTACATATGTGAGGGGAAGGGGGATAATTAACAAAAGAAAAAACACCTCAAACATATCAATACACTACAGTAACAGAGTTCCCAGACTGTAATCACCCTACTGAAAAACAGATTTTTACACCTACAAAGCAAGCTATTACTACTCCTCTAAACTGCTATATGGAATCCACAAATTCACACACACGCCTAACCTGGTTTGCTGCTTGCTTTAGTACTCTTGATGCTAGCTGTTGGTGTTGGGAGGATCTTTGCAGGTGTATATGTATTTAAAGATATTTTTCTTCTCATTATTGGACTGGAACGTGAAGTTAAACAGGCTGAAAAAGAAAAATCAAACAAAGTAATTCAGTAATTTTCTGAGGCAAGTCTATCAAATTTAAACTAATCAGATTGTAAATAATTGAGTCAGACTGTCTTCCTATTAATATAGTACCCAGATGAAATTTATTTTCATGCAAGAAAATGTTAAAGATTCTTTCTTCTTTCTAATTAAGGTAGGGAGATTGAGAAGTGTGAAAAGAACAAGTAGGTACAATTCTTAAGTATGAAGACCTCTGGAACAGGACAGGTTGCAGTAGGGAGTGCTACTGGCATGAGCTTTTGGGATTCCAAACAAACGATGGCGGAGATAACACAAGGCAGATTTGTCAATTTTTGCAATCTTGGAAGAGGACCTGATAGCAGTAAAGAGTGTGTCTCTGAAAAAGCAGTATGTAGAACAGCTGTGGCAAATGTGCCTGCAGGGGTTGATAACTACGCGGGATGAATATAAGTTCACACTGGCAGAATATCAAAGTAGTCACTAATGAAATAATATACAAGTGACAATGGACATGAGTTTAGGTGGACTCCGGGAGTTGGCGATGGACAGGGAGGCCTGGCGTGCTGCAGTCTATGGGGTCGCAAAGAGTCGGATACGACTGAGTGACTGAACCAAACTGATTAAAAAAGTGCTTAAAACATCTCATAAAAGAGTACATCATTACTCAGCTTTTTTCTGCTTACATCTTCTATTATAACTTCCAACCTCTAATTTAACCAATTAGTATTCTGAAATTGAGGGTCAGTGCCTTGGTGTAAGGCAGGAGGAATACTGGAGTGGGTTGCTATTTCCCACTCCAGGAGATTTTCCTGACCTAGATACTGAAACCACATCTCTTGCATCTCCTGCATTGGCAGGCAGATTCTTTACCACTGCGCCACCTGCAAAGCCCTAACTGGCACCCTATTTTCTTTAATATTCAAAGAGAATGAAAAAAGCCACACACTTTAGGAGACCTGGGTTTTAGTCTCGCTTGACCACTAACTGGTTGATTTCCTCAATGGTGTCTCTAAATTTTTCCATTAATACAGTAAACTTCCCTCAAATGAAATCTTACATAAAATCGATCAAAGAATGGCCTAATAATTCAGCTTCTTTCTCTTCCTCATGGAACTTCCCAAAGCTCTTGGGAATAAGGTCTGAAGACCAATGAACTAAATAAAATCTAAGTTTTATCCAGTTTTATGAACTGCATTAACTGTATTTATTTTCTCATTTAGTTCCCTTAGTAAGTAATGGAATGAAATTTTAAGAGAGCTAGAGGGATTGTTGTACAACTTGTATCTATGATATAGAGACGAGATCGGGCGCGTTCAGGGTGGTATAGAGAAGGGTTAACGGGAACTGGAAAAGGAATTTAACATCTTTCAATTCATTAATATATCTCAGTAATACACTCTGAGGAACTGAACTCAGAAATGAAGCCATCATAAAACTGCAATGCCACAGTATAAACAAAGATTATCTTTTTGTAAATATCCCACCAAAAGCCTCTTTCCAAAACAGGTGTCATTACTGCTACTTTAGCTTTAAGTCACTGATTGAAGATCTTCTCAATTCAAAACAGTTTTAATGCTTACCTTAAACTCTTATTTACTAACTATAGTCTTTAATTTCTATTTAAGATCATAATTCCCTGCCCCAAGGAAGCATAAAGTATAGAGTATAAAGCCAGGTAGAAGACAAAAATGAGTATTTATTCAGATTCTCTCTTGTGTTCTGAGGAACAGCACTGGCCTTTCTATTAGCTAACAGAGAAAGGAAAAGGAGAAATGTCCTTTAGTTTCCTCACTTCAACTGTACTGCTTGCAGATTATTTCATTTGGATTATTATAATTTCTCAGCATCAAATTCATATGCACATTTTAAAATGGAAACCTACTTCTCCAAAACACTTCTAAAGTGAAATAATTTAAAACCTTCACACCAAGATACCTCTCAGGTTGAAAGCTGATCTCTGCCACCAGACGTGAAAGAGAAAAGCAAAAATGCAGGGGGTACTATCTGGACAGAATATGCTGAACAGACGCTCTACAGAATCACACAGTGTGGTGGCCCAGGAAAGGGAAGAGAGTCACAGCCACACAAGACAGTGGCTTTCATCCCAAGATCTCCAATTTTATTCTTCAGAAAAACACATTTACAGTATTCTTCTTACAAAATACTACTTGGGTTCTGCTTGGTCTCTCCGTCGTTTCCGACTCTTTGAGACCCCATGGAAAGTAGCCCGCCTTTTCAAACATACGACTAAGACTAGCAAGACTCTTAACTCTCAGCAGGGCATTCTCTCCCAAAATGCATGCTTCCTACACTGGAATTCCAGTGTGCAAAGTATCCTACAGTGTTGAAAATGACAACAGCCAGCTGACTTCTTATACTTAAAAAGGAAGCCCTGAACATTTCCCAAACTGAAGTCCCTCAGAATAATTCTATACAATATTTAAATGTGTTACCAAAATGTTTTCTCAACAAATAAGTTTTGGAAAATGTGGGTATGGAGTTTTCCTTATAATAAAGTTTCCAAAACTGGCTTAGCCACAAACCCCTTTACTTTACACAAAGGAATTAACCTCTTCAGAATATTTCCTACAGAACACAATTTGAAAAACTGTTGCCCTAATTTGCTCTCTTCAGTTAAGAGTTCTGAGTCAAAAGTATTGAGTGGATGAACACATGGGCATTAATACAGACTAATATCATGTCTTATAAAAAAAACAGTAGAAAATAAGACTATGATTTTTGTATTATATATTGCTGATTTCTACTGCTGGGTCTTAGATTTCGTCCTCCTTTTGGTAAGAGAAAAAATTTGGGGGAAGAGTCAAGACAAGTGATACACTGCACATTACACCAATGATTTCAAACAATGTTCTTGTATACCCCTTCCTCTCCTAAAATTCTACTTACTATCACTACTTGAATTTATATTTTCATAATTATTTTATATTCAGATAAAATTTACTGTCTAAAAATCAAATAATAATAATTTTCCTACAAGTTTCAGGGGTCTTCCGTGGAACTTCACTTGATGGAGAAGCAATGGAAGCAAGAAATTCATCCACCTGCTTTAAGGACAGAGCATTGTGAAGAGTTTCTAGAGGACAAATAGATGGCACCATCGAATACAATTCAAAACCTGAGGGGAAAAAACAAAAACAAAACCAAAACCAAAAGTTGGATATCTTAAAATTCATTAATTAAAAAAGATCATTGCTTAGAACTGGACAGTTTAGGTCTTTTCAATCTACCACATGCAAACACACAAGATCTCTGAAGTCATGACACCAGATGCTATGCAGTATGGGGCTGGAACAAGATGTGACAAAGACTTCATTTTAAATATAATCACAAGGTACAGCATGCACACGATTCATCCTGTATTTGGAAAATCTAAGAGTAATACCTCAAAAACCCGGGGGAATAATAAAAAACAACAACAAAAAACCGTGTTTTCACGGTTTTTACTTTTTAAAAGCAGGTCTATTTGATAGATGAATAAGCTGATGCCATGTGTCCCTGATAATGGAATACTAAAGGTAACTTCTTGTTGAAAAACAATTAAGTAATTGCTTATGAAGAGTGATTTTAAATACTTTTCTAGTCATACCAAGGCCAACAACACTTCTAGTGTGACCCCAAAGCAACATCCATTCATTTATGCTGAAATTAAAATTTCAAAACATATTTCACCTACCTTGACTGAATTAACACAATTAATCCTATTGTTGGAAACTGCTAGCTGAGTGAAGTCAGGCCAAGTAAAAAGCCATACAAAATACAAGTATTTCTGCATTCAACAATGGCACAAATACAAAAATTTCATGAAACAAACCATGCAGGTATGTATTAATACCATCCATGAAACGAAAGCACTTAAATATACAGCTTCTTTAAACAAATAGGACCTAGGTTATTTACTTTTTTATAAATATTGCTTATTTACATTTTATTCAACTGAATGGCTTTTAAAATTGTTTTTAGATACAACTAAAATACCAAGTCTTTATGCATCTATTTTTTCAAGAATTTAAACTAATTCTCCTCCAAAAAGAAATACTTTTAATGTTTAGTTTCTATATAAAGTCTGATATTTTTAACTTAAAATGAAAATTAATTAAACTTCAGTTGATTGGAAAACTTTCTGCTTCAATAGACATGTGCTCATTTTAACACTGACTTATATTTGATTTTGGGAGAAAATACTGACCTAAGAATTGTCTACTTCTTAGTTGGAATAGGGAAACTCTAGTTAAAAGAGAATCTAATTTTTCAATGAAAACAACCAAAGGATTTGTAAAACTGGTATGTTTGATTTCCAGGGGCAAACCAAAGCATGACGGAACATTACATATACGTAAAACAAAACTATAATACCATAATAGCAGCTAAAGCACCTACGTTAAGCACTGAAGAAATTAGGCTTGCACAAGTATTACATTTTTTTTTAATTACAAGATTCATGCAGAAAAGCGCAAACCCTTTCCTTGCATTAAACACTGTGGCTTTTTAAAAAAATCCTTTCCTCAGAATGGTTATTAGTTTTTTGTAAAACTATTTTTCTGCATTTGCTTGTTAAATTTTGTTAACAGGCAAATGACAATATAATCGAGTCCCTTTGGACTGCATCTTTTTCCAAAAGGGACTGCATCTTTTTCCATCTATCTATAGTGAACTTTTTCTTTAATGCACAATGAAAGGGTTAGCGCAGCAATTTAAAAAGCCGCCTTGCTGTCATGTTTAGAAACTAGAGAAACATACCACTGGAGCCTAGAAACTCCACAGAGGAAACGGACCAGCACCTATAGAGGTGTAGGTGTTCTGCACAGAGGCCCAGAAAATAAGGTAAAGCACTGTCAGAAGATACTTGTTTCACCATGTTCCTTGAACTAAAGATGAAGGGGAGGGGTTAAGTCCATGATATGTGTTAAGATGGAAAAAACATGAAAGTTAAGGAAAATAAAAAGTAAAAGAAAGAGTCAAATGACAATTCATAGGACAGGTAAGACAACACAGCAAAAAAAAAAAAGAAAAAAAGAAAGAAAATTTGAAAACCCAAGAGAAATATTTCTAGAGTTGAAAGGGATGCATTTTATAAGCATCAAGTCACACAATGTGTGGAAAAATCCACATTTTTAAAAAAAAGCCTAAATCAAAAGAATATAAAATTATTTTCTGTTGAACTTAACAAAGGCTTTTTTTTTAAGCTTCAATAGGCAAAGATTTCTCCTATATAAAACTTGCAATACTGGCACAACAACACATAAGCACTCTGCACAAAAACTACAGTCAGTCTTAAACCTTCAACGTCTCTTCTTCAGAATTTTGTGATTTTTGTTTTTTCTTGTGACTTCAGTTTTCTTCTAAGAAGTTCTTACACATGTTGGTTCTTTAGAAACTGTAGCTGTATCAAATAAGGGTCTTTTCCTTCAAAAAGATGCATATAAAGAGACAATGGAGGAAAAGAATATTTAGCTTTAAGGCCAAATTTTCACTTGTTGAGAACTGGATCTTCACACTCCACCTTCAAGTATTAGTGCACTGTTACTTAGGTGTCCTCTTAAAAGGATTCAGAAGGAGGGAAATGACAACAAACTTGTGTTCAATCCTTGAGCTTCATAAAAGTTTCTGAAAAACCTGACTTGAATTTTTGAAAGACTTACAATTAAAAAGAAAAAAAGTTGCAGGGATTAAAAACAACTTCACTCTGAATAAAAGTGAAAACATGTAGGCTTCCTTTGAAATTCTTTGATTCTGAGTTTTTTTTTTTAATGATTAGTAAATATTCCTTTGTCCCACAAGAAAAAACTCTATGTAAGAAAGCTGTAATAGTGCAAAATTCGGTGTGTAAGTAATGGCCACACAATTTTCCGCTTCAGGCTCAAATACTGAATTTAATTGAACTGGCTGTCTAGATTTTTAGCCTTATCATCTTCCTGTGAGTAGCCCTCCAAATTCTAACAAAAAGCAAGGGACCCTTCCCAAAACTGTTTGCCTTACAGTGGCAAACCACACTGCCATAGGAGCACTAAGTGAATGCTGAATGATGTTTTCAGAGTGCTCCAGACAAAACTGGGTTTTGCTTTAGATAGTCAGGGATCAATAATGTTACACAGTGAAACCTGCATCCCCTGGTTCCCAAGAACTTTTCAAGGACACATCTCATTTGGCTATTTGACAGGTATGATCCCGTATTTTAGATAAATAGCTCAATGAAACAATCATGTGATCAGAAGAGAAATTCAGAAGATCATTAAATTACTAAGAATTAAAAAGAAAATAAGTAATATTTATTGTTGCATTTTTAAAATTATGTAGATTGATGAGAAATCAGAAGGAACTTTTAGGTGCTAATTAAGTATTAAAACTCATCACTGTGGTCATTTAAAAGTTTGATGAGTAGTGCTAAATCACTGCGTAAATTATAGCTGAAAAAGGGAGTTAGACAGTATCAATATTTGGGGTGAACAATAAGTTAGAATTGTATGCCAATTGAAATTAAGGATTGAGAAATGTATGATACTGTATATCCCACATTTTAAAATCAAAGAAAAATAAAAAAGGATGAAGCAGGGGATTATCTTTTAAAATAAAAGCAAAACGTACCATTGGTTGGGTGTCGAGCAAATGAGATAGAAAACCTTTTAACAGCAGAACCGCGTGTGGCGTCTAAGAAAGAGAAAAACAGGTACCTGAAATTCATAACAGCTACCAAAAGAAGGACACTTAAAAAAAGAGGAGGAAAAACAAATATATAAGGAGGTTAGAATTAGGTGACATGCAGAAGGGACAATGAGAGAGGGAAATAAGCCAAATACTGGTTAAAAGAAGTAAAATGGCTTGATGATAGAGGCAAAGTGTTCAATAAAATATACAAAAGAAAGAAAAGCAGGATGAGCTGGCAATTCTGATAAATCCATGTTTTACTAACTAAAATAAACTTGTGGATACATGAGAAAAAGTTTTAGATAAAGCTAATTTCTAAAGGGCTAGTAAGTACTCCTATTAACAAAAGGGGCATGCTTTGATGAGCCGCAAGAGACTTTCTGAATATTAAAACTCAAGGTGCGTTAACAACAGTGAGAAGATTTCCTTCACCTAGTGATCCTAAAATATTCTCACCTTATGTTTATTCTTACAAAAATAATGCCAATATGTTTTCTTGTAAACATTCCATTCACTTTATTTAGAAGTAAAATAAGCGTTAAGAATAAAAAAAATGTTTAAAAGAACAAATATTTATTCTTTATAAAATGGCTTATTAACTATTTAAAAGAATATATGTGATACAGTTCTAAATTTCATATTTCAATGAAATACTCATTGAACAAGTACTGTAAGTCTAACTATGATTAACTGCTTGATGAAAGGTGGACCTAAGCAGTGGATAACAGAACACACTGGCAGTCACTTAGGCAAAGGGTGATGGGATTCTGTCTGCATCCGTCAGTGGCCTGAGGTCCGCCCGTGACAAGTATCATATGCTCATGGATGTGTGCATGGGTGCAGGTATGGCTCTGTGTGTGCATGCGTGCACATACCATCTATGCAGCCAGAAGAGGTCAGCTTTTTACGATGAGTACGAGCATAATCCTGTAGGTTAGGTGCGCTTGAAGAAGCCCCGAGCACCGAGGTGCTAAACAGGCCCGCACAGTGAGACCCTGATGGGAGTTAGAGAAAATACACACAACAACGGGTGTTCTTCTGTTCACATTGGGAACTCATGCAGCATGCAACAACACGGCTCTTACCACGTGTATTTGGCAGTGCCCTCAACAGGCTCACAAGTCACTTACAATGTCAACTTAATACAGTCACCACCACCATTTACCGTATGTACAAATGGAGGCATTTTACACTGGAGAAAATGTTCTTTGAGGAAAATAATATACCCATACAATAATTAGACATATACATATTGAGAGTATTAAAAAACACTATCATAAAAATTAATTTAGGATGATAAGGAATTTTGTCAATCAGTTTGCATGAGCAGGCAATATTAGAAAACCTCTCCTAGCACAAATTAAATAATATTAAATCAATATTTTTAAAAGTATATCTGTGAATGAAGAAGTTTTCCTGATGCCGCTGAATGTGACTTATCAACATCTGTTATGAAATAAAGTAAATCAAAGTTTACTTATTTGCAAGAAGGCCAGGTGAAACAATTCCTTTCACAGTGTGGTCATTCAGGCCTAAATCACTCTAAATTTCTAATACTTAAAAAACTTAAGATCTTAATTAATAAGAAGCCCAATTTGATGCTTAACTTGTAGTAAAAGTCTTTACAACCAAGGAAACCTTTTACCATTAGGTAAGGATTAAGTAAATTTTTATCAGATACATTACAACATGTAAAGAAAGGAGGTGTGTGTGTGTGTGTGTGTGTGTGTATGTGTGTATCTGACAAAATACCGCAGGGATATCAAAAGGTATCATTGTAACATATGCATAATTAAAGAAAGATTTTTCAAGTATGTAGGCATAAGGGACCATTCATATACTTAGAATAGAGATAATAGTACATTTATTATCTGATGCAGTTTATCAATGCTTTTAAAACCAAAATAAATTTAGAAAGGTTTTCTTCAACATTGCTTTGCTTGAGTGTTCGCAAAGAACCAATTATGTTCTATAGGTCAATAAAAAAATCAACACTGCCACTAAACATTAGTTTTGCTTTGGCTTTCTTTAAGGGATGACCAAAAAGATCACTAGTATACCTAGACAGGTAAGTAACTAGGTAAACTTATTTTAAGTGAAATACTCTCCACTTGAAAAATTTTTTAACCAGAAAAGTAGGTTCTTTTTGTATGCACTAGCCTATTTTCAACTTTATCAAGTGGGAAAATGAAGTTTCCTTCCTAAATTAAAACATGCTGGGATTTTAACTTACAGAGCTAGATTAAAAATGAGCACTGGCAATTAGACTGAGCAGTTTATGTTATGGGCATTCAAAAGCATTATAAAACAAAATTAATGTCATTTCTTGTTTATTTCATCAAAACTTTACTGTATGTTTCCAGCTTTACAACTTAACATTTCTGAATTAGTGCATGTTAAATAAAAACTAAAGCATAGCATTTGGTCATGCTTTCACCTCTGAAGAGTTTTACATGTGTGCAAAATCCTGAGTCTAAGGTTTGGAATACAACTTCCTTCAGACCACATACCTACAGTAGGGTTCTGCTTCTGTTCTACAAGAGTTCTTGGTGTTCGTAAGTAATTAGCATTTTCAGATACAACCTGCAGAAGGAAAGCAAAATAAATGAAGTAAAACAGTAAAATAAACCAAAAAGTCCATACTTCATTTGCAGCCTGTTTCAGACAGACAAAGGTTAATAAGCTGTATGATAAATATTAGTAGAAATACACAAGGTATGAAAGATCATGCAAGATCCCCTTGTGAAGGGAGTCCATTTCATATGAGGTCCTTGCAATGAAGTGGTGCGAAGCAGGCATTCAGAATAAATATCACGTATGAAACAAGACAGATGAAAAGAAACAATTAATATAGACTGATATAATTTCACTCTCCCTTAAAAGAAGCCAAATGCCCACTCTTAAACAGCTCCTGTATTTGAAGGGGGAGAAAACAATCACAAACAAAAGAAAAGACAGACAGAGACTGTTGAGATCACCATACAATTACTGATCCATGCACAGGCTTTATCAGAGTAACCTTTGAATAGTCACAGCCTTAATGGATACCATAATCCCTTTTCCTATAATCAATGCATTGTATTTCCAAAAGGAAATTGCTGAAGTTCTTGGAAAAGTCATGTGTAACAGCAGACCTTCCATTGTGAAAAATCCCCCAAACCCACAGTATTTTAAGTTTCCAAATGTCACCACAAAAAGTCCTTCTGAAGTCATTTATTTTGACTCCTTTTGTTGGGGCATATTGTTGATGGTCACATATACATTGTCCCCTTTTATCTTAAAGAAAGTATTAGTATTAAGATAATATACAGGTAAAAAAAACCACCATATTGTATGTAATTAAGATACTTTCAGATAATACAAAGTGAGGGAGAGAATCACCAGTATTAGATGTATCCTGCTAATTAACACAGGGCCACATAAATCTGGATATTTTTTAAAAAATTTTCAGGTTCTCAGCAAATTCCAAATGGAATCTATTTTTCAATTATGGAGGAAAAGGTTATTAAATTTCCTTACTATCTAATTACATAACTTTATTTCTGAATATTTTAAAGGACAATTAAAAAAAAGTCTTTGCTTTTAAAAAAATGTTATTAACAAGCTAAAGTTCCAGGAATGTAAATTTTATTGACTAATTTTAAAATCCTGGATATTTAACCCCCTCCAGTAAAAATGCTAAACACAAGCAATGTAAGTGGTTTCTTTCCCTCAAAATATTGTCAGACATCACAAGCGTTTCAAATGAATTCAAAATTAAAAAACGGAAGGATTTACTCTGATGTAAAATACAAGGGATTAGATGTCCTCCAAGACAGCTGTTTGTTGCTCTGAATGCGGGGAGGAAAAATGTTTAATGAAGTAAAGTTTAAAAACCTGTTGCCATGAGCCAAAAATACTGGATGTGAAAGCCAGTGATTTGGGGGAGACAGGGGAAGAGGTGATTTGCTCCCCTGATCTGCGTCTTCGACGCCCAGTGCCCACACCACTGGTGTAGTGCAGCCAGCCACCAGTGCCCTCTGGGCTAGACACACTCAGGGGGCTCTCTTCCTGGAAGTGAGAAAGGGGCAAAAAAAAAAGCAGAGCATGCAAAGTTAGATACAACAGAGCCAAATGACCAGAAAGAAAAAAAAATACAGTTTGTTTGTGCTTATCAATTTTTTTAAAAAACTATTAAACAGTAATTTGGGAGCCAAATATTTTAATATTTGAGAAATTGATAGGACTCACTTATAAATCTAATTTTGAGTAATAACAATTATGAGAATTACTTTCTTATCTTAAAATACAAAATATTTATACTGCTTAATAGTTGTCTTCTCTCTTAGAACTGGAAAGATTTTAACAATTTTTTATCTTGGCAATGTTAAAAATTTGAACATATTCTGCTTAATTTTAGATATTCAAGAGGTTTTATGCTATACTGGGTAAACTTTTCAACCCAAAGCACTAAAGAATCCTTCAAAGGGTTAAAGAGACTTCCAGTGTATATAATGTATAAAGGAAAATTTGTTTGCCAGACAAAAAAATTACATATCATAAGATGAAGGATTCAAATTGCACTTGTCTACACTTCTATGCTATCTATTTATTTACTCCTTCCAAAGATTATTTGTAGAATTCAGTAGACAAAACACGCAGCAAACATTCTCATTTTACATGTTTGCATGTTCAGGTTTCAGACAGTGAGGACATAGTAAAATCTACTTGCACAAAATGAAGAGAATAGTCTTTTTCTCTGTGTGTCTTTGGGAAGTACAAACTTCTGATATCCATGGAGATGATGGACGCTGGAAAAAGTCTTCAAGGTTTTACTTGAATAATTTCCCTTATGGAAGTAAAAGTTTAGCATGGCATAGAAATAATCGCTTGAAAGCAACTATTTAAATATTTATGAGAAAAAGGTTTAGCACTGTGTTCTGTGTTTTAAGAGTAAACAAAGGGCAGTGATTTTGTTGAAGATTTGACAAATACAGTTGTTGGAAAATGCAGTCAAGGAATACATTTACTGTATCAGTGTTACAGACATTTTTTGGAGTGCAGAAAAATGTTTAATGGTGAAATTCTAAACAACCTGATAAATTACAGATTGCTTTGTTCAAAATCATCAAAATCACTGCCCTCACACAAATGATATTTTAGGTTATATTAATAAATGTCATTTCCCAATTTTCTGAAATTAAAGATAAATGAAAATAACCCCAGGTTTCTCATTCTTAAATTAAGCTACTAGAACAAATAACCCCAAATTCTATAATTGTTAATCATCCTCTTTTATAATTAACTTAAAATATCTCATTCATGGGAAACCCTAACTAGTATGCACTTTCCATTATAAAACTACAACAATCTATTTTATTTAGATGATGCTTTTCCTATGCATAATTGTTGAATTGGGAGAATCAAAAGCACATATGCCTGTATAATTTGGGGCAAGAGAAATGAGCATATTCTTTTTTTGATGTGTATGTTCTTACTTACCAACTGCTAGATAGTATACCTAACAAGATTTGGCGTATTTAATCATCAAAAAATATTTTAGCTTAAAAGTTGATGGTGCTTCCTATCTTTATACTTTTACTTGAGAATTTAGAAAATATAAGCACTGATTTCAGATCAGAGATGAATCATCCTATAGAAAATATAAATAACCCAAAATGAAGGTATTTAAAGAATAAAAATGTATACAGATGTTAAAGATGTTACTTAACAAACTTCATTCCAACTGCTCAACTTTCCTTTTAAATGTTATTTTAGTAACTACTTAAATGTTATTTTATTAGCATAAGAATTAGCCTAAGTTATTTAATTATAGATCTAAATACAAAGGTAAATTTTTCATTTACAGCATCAAATTTTCAAATTCCTATTCTGACTTTTACAATCAGTTTAACAATTTAGAATGTCACATCTTAACCTACAGTGTCACTGGAATCGGCTGCTGCTGAAGTGTCTGTCAATTCCTCACTACTTTTAACCAAAAATTATTCCTGACCCATTAAATCAGATTTTTTTAAAAGTTCTTTATTAGACTAACCTAAAGTGACAAGGCAAAAAATGGATCAGTTTTTAGAAAGGCCTTATTTTACTACTTATATTCAACTTTGTTATGAAATCTATAAAGCTCCAAATTATAAAAGTAATCTTTGTATTTTCTGCCTCTACATTTTAAAAAATTTATTTGAAAAATTGATAAAATTGACAGTTAAAAATCTGGTAGGTTCCCAAGCTTAATAATTAAAGCTGTATTTTCTTTTCTGTTTTATTAAAATATAGTTAGTTTACTTCATTAAAAAAACATGCTCTGACAAATATACTTACTTCATTTGTAGCCATCTTCCTAGATCTTGGAAGTGGAGACTTCCTGTGTATATGAATTGGCTCTGATACCATAGGCTTAAACAATATCACAGCTCGATCAACCTCATCTTTTTTAGAAGTATGTGGTTCATCATCACTATCAATTTTAAAAGCTCTCCTTCCTTCATTCTATGCAGAAAGAATATAACATAATAAAATTCAGATAAAACAAATCACTCTTTTTAGATGAACAAATTAAAACCACCAATTGCTATCGTCACTTGAAGTACATATATACAAGTTTACTTATTCAAATAGATTGATAACTGAATTCTTATGAAAATCTAGTATCATTCTGGGTATTGTAAGACAGATGACAGAGTTCCTAACTTCAAGAAATACATATACTCTCCAGATAAATGAAATAATAAAATGACAATTAAAAAGCCATATAAAACAAAATGCTTAATAAAATTTCATCCAATGCCCAAATAAATAAGCAATATTCATAAATGACAGTAAAAAAAAAAACAGGTCAGTTTTATTACCAGTAATGTCATCAACTCAAGCATAAACTGAAACAATATCTGGTTATAGAAAATTCAAATTCTATTCCAAATATTTCTAACAAATGTGATGACTGCACACTTAAATAACAATCATTTGATGGCTCACTGACTATTTAATGAGTACTACCATGTGTCAAGACTCAGATGAGTAAGATACTGTCTCCAAAATATAAGAGTCTCAAAGTATAGTACAGAAAACAGGTAAATTTAAAAAGGTTATATTAAATATTCATCTAAACAGAATGGATAAATGGGGCATGGTCACACAGTGAAACACATATTTTAAAGCAGTAAGAATGGGCAAACTAAAACTAATTACATCAGTGAAACTCACAAATATACGTTAGCTAAAAGAAGCCAAAGTATGTAAAAACCTTCATTAAACTAAGGGGTATAAAAAATAAACTTCTTCAACTCAGGTAAGGTATACCTAAAAACTAGAGAAAATCATCACAGTTAATAATAAATCACTGAAAGAGAAGAATGCTCATCATCACGAAATCTACTCAACATTTTACTGGACATCTGTCATCATTCATAGATATGATCATATACACAGAAAATTAAAATGACTGGATAAATTATCAGAATGAATAAACAGCATACAGTAAGGTTGCTAGTTATAAAATCTTTATACAAAAATTGAGTTAAATTTCAATTGAAAATAGCAAACAGAATAAAATTTAAATGAGTCATTTATGACAACATTAAAAAAGAATTTAGGAATTAACCTGACAAATAAAAGATATTAAAACAATTTTATCAAAAAGATATAAAGAATAGCCAACTAAATTCAGAGAGATATATACCAAGTCCTAGGACTAGAAGATTCAATTCTGAAGTGTTATGTCCAGAGAAAACTAGAAGTGTTATGTCTCTCAACATGATCTGCAGAGGTTATCTAATTTCAATAAAAATCCCTAAACATTACTTTCTGCTTTAGTCTGGGAATGAACAAGGATGATTGCTATCAATACTTCTACTCAGCACTATACTGGTCCTAGCCAGTAGCACTTCACAAAAAACATAATCAAATGGCCAATGAATGTAAGAAAAAGTACTAATCCTTACTGGTTGTGAGGAAAATGTAAATTTAATACACAAGTGAGTTGCCAAACAACTCATTAAAAACACTAATCATACCAAGTGCTGATAAAGACATGGCAGTATCTTTGGAAAGTTATTTGACTGTATTTTTAAAAACTGAACATATGCATACCCTATAACCCAGCAATTTTATACATTTTATCCAAAAGAAATGTATATGCTCAGAAAAAGACCTAACAAGAATGTCCATAAAAGCATCCATCTTCAAACCCTGAACTGCAAACAAACCAAATGATCATCACAGTGAAATGGATTAACAAACTACACCATATTTATTTAATGTAATACTACATGGCAACAGAAATGAAGAACAGATGAATTTCAAACACATAATGAAAGAAGCCAAATCCACTTCCCATCCCTAAAAAAGCACATGTTTTGTGAGTTCATTTATATATAAAGTCCAAAAGTAGACAAAGTTAATCTATGTGCCAGAAGTCAAGATAGTAGTTATCTTTGGGGAGAAAGCAGGAAGGTTATGATATTGAGGGACACAACCATTTCTTCTCAAATGATATTATTCTATGACCCAGCTAGCTGTTTTACAACTGTGTTTCTTTTGTGATATATCATTAAACTACACATTGATGATTTAGGAATGTTTACCAATATGTATCATAGTTTAGTAGTAAAAAAAGTTTAAGGCTGAATACATATTTAACTTTGTAAGGTTATAAGAATTAAAATGCGGTAATTAACTCCAAGTGTTTAGTAAAGCATGGGCTGTCCTCAAGTAAAACAACAGCCCAAAACAGAAACTACAGTTATCCATTCTAAATAATGATCTTAAAAATCCCCCCAAAAAATCTAGAGAAAGGAGAAAATATAAAATTCTAATATGCTTAAAAAAGTGTATCAATCCAAACCATACCTCAAGAAGTTTAAACCACCTTGCTCTTTAGTAGTTGAGATAAGAATTACAGTATGTAACAGAAAATTCTTAAAGTCACATTTAAATTTAGGACTGTAGTAACTATGCAATGGAAATTTCATCTTCATTACCTCCCTTGAAGCTGGTCTATATCCATAGCCAGAGGGTAAATTTTTGTCTTCTTCACATCCTTTGGCTCCTGGACTGAAATGTAACTCAACATGAAAGCGTTCCTCAGAGGAAAGATCCTAAAAAAATATTATAGAACATCTTCAAAATGAGAAACTTCAAATTATTGATTTACCTCTGGTAACACATGCAAGAATAAACAGAAGAATTGTACAAAAAAGCTCTTAATGTCCCAGATAACCACCATGGTGTGGTCTCTCACCTAGAGTCAGATATCCCAGAGTGTGAAGTCAAGAGGGCCTTAGGAAGCATCACTATGAACAAAGCTAGTGGAGGTGATGGAATTACATCTGAGATATCTGAAATCCTAAAAGATGACGTTGTTAAAGTATTGCACTCATTATGCCAGCAAATTTGGAAAACTCAGCAGTGGCCACACACAACTGGAAAAGGTCAGTTTTCATTCCAATCCCAAAGAAAGACAATGTCAAAGAATGCTCAAACTACCACACAACTGCACTCATTTCACATGCAAGCAAGATAATCCTTAATAATAGTTCAAAATCCTTCAAGCTAGGCTTCAGCAGTATGTGAACTGAGAACTTACAGACGTACAAGCAGGATTTAGAAAAGGCCAAAGAGATCAAATTGCCAACATACACTGGATAATAGAAAAGGCAAGGGAATTTAAAAAACATCTAATGCTGCTTCACTGACTATGTTAGAGCCTTTGATGGTGTGGATCACAAGAAACTGGAATATTCTTAAAGAGATGGGAATACCAGACCACATTACCTGCCTCCTGAGAAACCTGTATGCAGGTCAAGAAGCAAGTCAGAATTGGACATGGAACAACAGACTGGTTCCAAACTGGGAAACAGGTACATCAAGGCTGTATATTGTCACTCTGCTTATTTAACTTACATGAAGAGTACATCACATGAAATGCTGGGCTGGAAGAATCACAAGCTGGAATCAAGATTGCCAGAAAAAATATCAACAACCTCAGATATGCAGATGGGAGAAACTGAAGAGGAACTAAAAAACCTCTTGATGAAGGTAAAAGAGGAGAGTAAAAAAGCTGTCTTAAAACTCAACATTCAAAAAACGAAGATCATGACATTTGGTCCTATCACATCATGGCAAATGGATAGGGAAAAAGTGGAAACAGTGTCATTTCATTTTCTTGTGCTCCAAAATCAATGCATACAGTGACTGCAGCCATGAAATTAAAAAGACGCTTGCTCCTTGGAAGAATAGCTATGACAAACCTAGATGGTGTATTAAAAAGCAGAGATACCACATTGCCGACAAAGTCTATATAGTCAAAGCTATAGTTTTTCCAGTAGTCATGTAAGGATGTGAGAGCTGGACCATAAATAAGGCTGAGCATTGAAGAATTGACACTTCCTAACTGTGGTGCTGGAGAGGGCTCTTGAGAGCCCCTTGGACAGAAATGAGATCAAACCAGTTAATCGTAAAGGAAATCAACTCTGAACAATCACAGGAAGGACTGCTGCTGAAGCTCCAACACTTTGGCCACCTGACACGAAGTGCTGACTCCTTGGAAAAGACTCTGATGCTGGGAAAGATTGAAGGCAGGAGGAGAAGGGGACAAGAGAGGATGAGACGGTTGGAAGGCATCACCGACTCAACGGACACGAGTTTGAGCAAACTCAGGGAGATAGTGAAGGACAGGGAAGCCTGGTGTTCTGCAGTTCATGGCGTTTCAGAGTTGAGCACAACTTAGCGACTGAACAACACATGCAAATCAAGAACTCTGTTACCTTGTTAGGATCTTCATACAGCATGATAACAATCTGAGTCATGTAGTTGAGTTCATTGACAACATTTAAATAATCCATAGCTCGTTTCCACTGTTCATCCTTTGATTCCTGAACAAAAGTATATAGTAAGCATTTTCTCATATTCCTTGAAAATCACTTTATTTTCATTATGACAGTTCATTTAATCCTAATTGACATCACACAAATGAAATACTTCCACACACAATCTTTCAAAATAACTCCACTAATTTAAATTTAATAAATCACCTAAGCTTAAATAATTTTAATTCTCTTACCAGTAGTATTAGAAACTCTAGTGGTTTTTTCTTTTTTTTTAGTAACTCAGAGAAAGTAAAAATAAAGACTATCTTGAGATATGATACCTATTAACTGAATTTTGAGGGTAAGGGGCAGTTGTTAACCTTAAGTTTCAATGTAACTAATATAGTGTCATGCTTCATAAACCGAACACTATCCCATGAAAGTAATGACTATAATTAAATATCTCTCATTCCACTGTAGTTTTTTAAACTGTAGATATTTTAAAACAATCAGCAGGAGAAAGCACAGGCAGATTCTTAAAACCATCTCCTTCATTCTTAAAATCACTCCACCATCATTTAGAGAATCAATGGTCTTTAAACATGTAATTAAAGAGCTTCAGAACTGAAAGGGACCTTACAGAACATGTATTACAAGCATCAAAGTAAAAAATTCTATCTCAAAAGGCAAAACTACTCAAAGTTCAAACTCTACAATAATCAACAAGGTCTACTGAAATCTTATGTACATCAGAGATAATGTCCTTCATCTCATGTCATAAACATTACAAATATATAAACGCACCCAACACCTTTTTTGTATATAAGGGTTTTGTATATACACTGAGAGTATATAAGAGTTTCGGCTTTAGTATAGAATGTGTTTTAAGAAAAAATAAAATTTGATATGTAAAAGCCAAAAGTCAAGCCCACACGCTGATTTTTTTTTAAATTCAACACATATTTCTTTTTTAAATTTGGACATCGTCTATCTCTGAGGAAGCATTCCAAGTTTTTGGAAAGTAAAGTTAAAGCAATAACTTAAGCCTCATTTCAACAAATGGCTATTAACACGTTTAAACGCTCCACAGCAGTTGCTCCCAACTTAAGCAACACTCCACAGTAAAAACTGCATCTGTGTGTTTGTGTGTGTGTCTATGTTTGAGGAGGGGGTATGTGCAAAGGTGTACATACATTTTCTTTCAAAACTGATAGGAAAAACAAATTAGCATAGCATTACTGAATACCACTAGATGTGAATGATTATAAGTGATGGGCTTAAGCTAAATATTAAAAATTTTCAAGATTGAAAAGATCTATTAGATCCTGTGATATGGCATTATTAAGAACACCATGTAATATCTAATTCAGTGGTACAGATACAGACTTTGCTAGGTCTGCTGTAATGAAAAGATAAAACAAAATATTTTGTAGCATCTTCTTAAACACAATTAATATGCAAGAATTCATAAAAATCTTTTTTAAACAATTAAGGATCATTAAATATATTTCTTGAAATTTTATTTATAATCTTATTTCCTCAATAAATCTTTAAAAAAAAATCTATTAAGGAGAGACAGATTTTACCAAGTCTACATTAAAAAATGAAAAATCTCAACTGGGAAGAGACCATACAAGGTTTTAATTATATTAGCTACAGGCTCTTATTAGGATAATATGAGTTGGGATAATTAATTATGGTTCAAATAAATTTTTTAAAGTTTTAAAATGAGCAAACAGGACATCACTTTGGTATACAGCTTAATTTTCACTTTAATTGTTTTAAGCCCCAGAAGCCCAGGTTTTCATGGCAGTGGAGTTGTCCAGCTTTTGCTTTAGAAATGTAGCTGAATGCAGTACATACTACTGCCACCCACTCTTTAGATCACTGTGAGACAGCCTCCTAGCGGGCTTCCTCACACCCTTCTACCTATCTAATGCCTACACAGCAACCAAAGCCATTCAATTCCTTGCTTAAAACATTTCAAGGGCTTCCCAATCCTGGAATGGCTCTCCAATCTTATTTGCGACAATTTGATCCATCATTCACTTTTATTCTCCAAGCATAGGCTTCCTATCCATTCCCATATCCTCTATTCTTTCTACCTTATAATTAAGTGCAAGGTTAAAGGGTGATCACATAAGAAATGTATCTCTCCCCCCTCAAAACAATTCCATCATTATTAACGGATATATAAGCTCTTGCCTTTGCTAATTAAGAGTCATTTTTTTCTCTGTTTCTTTAATTAAAGCTTCACTAATCCACATGGACTTCCTAGGTGGCTCAGTGGTAAACAATCTGTCTGCCAACGCAGGAGATACAAGAGACGTGGGTTTGATCCCTGGGTCGGGAAAGTGCCCTGGAGTAGGAAATGACAACCGGCTCCAGTACTCTGGCCTAGAAAATCCCATGGGCAGAGAAGCCTGGCAGGCTACAGTCCATGGGTCACAAAGAGTTGGACATGACTGAGCGACTGAGCACACACACATAATCTGCATATGCAGTCAAGGGATGCCACTTTGCTATTCCATTAAGGAACAAAAACAGAAAAACAAGGGGAGAGAGCAGATGAGTTAGAGAAGCTGATGGGGATGGAGCACTCCCACAGCCTCAGGGTAACTCTGTTAGTGACTATTCATCAAGGCCCAATGGTAACAGAGATTGAGAATCAAGAGACATATGCCAAACCTTCATGCATATTTCACTGCCCTTTATTTTAATAAGTACAAAAGAATATGAAGTTGAATTCATTTTAAGGATTACTTTTTTATAGATGTGCATAAATGTATATACCCATATATATATGTGTGTGTATATATATAAGTAAATTTTTTAATTCTTATTTTTTGGTAGCTTAGAGATGGCTGAAAAGATATTTTTGATATATAATAGAAGTGACAGTGTATTCTGGATAATCTGTGGTTTGAGTGTACTGAGAAAGGGGTATTATAATTTCTAAATCTGCCTGGTTAGCACTTCTACTGCTAATGTCTAAAATGTCATTTTCCTCACTTTCTCAAATACAAACTTCCTGGGAATCTTATCAACAGCTGCTGCCTCAGCCATCATTAATGTGTTGGCTTCCCAACTCTTGTGCCTTCAACCCACACCTCTAGCCTTACATATGAACATGCTACTGGTCATCTTCACTTGATTTATCTTCACCTGTTTATCTGACTATTGTATGCTGAACGTATGACAGACAGATAATTCGTGTCTTCATTTCATAGGTCTTTGAAATGAGATTGAGTTCTCTTGAGAACTAGTGCCTCAAACTCAAGCTGTCTAAAACTAAACTCATTGCTTTCCTTCTAACGCCTGATATTTCCGCAAATGTTACTCATCTCAGTGAATGATGGATAATTTTGTAGGTGATCCTATGTTGGTAATATGGGAACCTTCCTTGACTCTCCTTTCTTACTTTCCATACCTGTACGTACAGGAAGGGCCTCAAGGAGAGTGTTAAGGCAAGTTAAGATGCCTCAAAAAGAGTGTTAATAAAAGCCTAAAGGACACTGAGGAGACTGTTGGTGAGGGATCATAGGAAGGTTAAAAAAACCTTATTGGAAACTATAGGATAAAAAATGCTTGCTACGTAGTGGCATAAAATACAGAAATACTATAGCCTGTAGATAGTGGATTTCAACGAACTAGCTACTAAGATTTCCTGAAAAAATTCTGAAAACACCACCAAGATTCTTCTCATTGCCTCTGATAAACATTGAGGAGAGGGAGATAAGCTATAGGAAATGGTTAATTAAAAAGGAACCAAGACTTGCAGGAATCAGAAATAAAACTGTTCCTTATTTCCAGCCTTTCCAGAGAGTAAACAATGCTACAGTTAAAAAGTGGCTTTTAGGAAGAATGGAAACACAAGAATCTGTCATGAAAACATGGGTATTATGGTAAAAACACTTGCTAAGACTTCAGAAAGACTTGGGGCTCACAGATTTTTCAAAGACACGATGACTTCTTAGGATCATATGAGCATGTCTCTCAGATACTCCCTATTAAACAATAAAGACTGCTGAGTACTCTCTCAGCAGCCGAAGAAGGAGTCCAATGTACAAACAGACTTATTCTTAAGAGATCCATGGGAATGAATTAATACAGTAGATTATAAATTATTCTTTTTTTTTTTAATTATACCATCTTGAACTAAAAGTAAACAGACCTTTGGATCTCCAAACTTCTTTGGGCAGGAAGGAGGTTAAAAAAACTACTTAGCTGCAAGCATGAGCTACTTTTTATGGAGAAGGAAGGATGACTTAGATGAAGCCATTAAGAATCAAAAGTATAAAGCCATGAACCATTAAAAACAACTCCTAGTAGTATGACAGCGCCCTGATTAAGGAATGGGCATTAAGTATCGAGGCACACAGAACTGCTATGGACCAGTGACCGTGGTGTAACTTCTGTTTTCCCCTCTTTTTGAAAAGGTTGCCTACAGCAGTTATTCTGTGCTTCTCAATACTGTATGTCAAATATATGACAGACAGATAATTGGTGTCTTCATTTCACAGGTCTCTGAAACAAGACTGAGTTCTCCTGAGCACTCAAGGGGTTCTGCCCAAAGAGTCCCACCCATATCTGCACTATTTAGATAATGAGATCCTGGCGGTCAAGTTCATGCTGTAGTAGGTAAGCCTAGAGGAACACTATAGAGATTAAGTGAATTCTGCGTGTGGGAGAAATATGGATTGCATGGTAACATACTGTGACAGACCCTGGTTTTCAAATATGGCCGCCAAAACATCCCCGACCCCAAGGACTCATCTGGCAGTGAGTGGCAAGTGACACCCACTCATCCAGTACTATGGGTCCATTTCCCCTTCCTGGAGCCTGGATGGATCTCTGGGACTACTTCAACCAAAAATGCTTGGTAAAAGTGAAAGCACGTAACCTCATAGCTTAGATCATAACAATACTTTGTGTTTGCTCTTTTTTCTCTTAGTGCACTCCTGGAACTCAGCAGCTATCTTCTGAGGAATACGCTGTATTCTGAGGTCACATGAAGAGGCCATGGTGGGTATTCTGGTCCATAACCCCAGCTGAGCCCCCACCTGACAATCAGCACATTAAGAACTAGATATGAGGAAAAAGCTGTGAGGTGATTTGAGCTCCAGCCACTGTCTGACTGCAATCTCATGAGAGACACAATGCAAAACTGCCTAAATGACCCAAGTCAAGCATTTAACCATGACAGAGAAAAAAAAAATGCCTGTACTTGTTTTAAGCCAGTAAGCTTTGGTACTGATTCATTATGTTACAGTAAGTAAGAGTCACACGTCCAAACACCAAATCCTATCGATTCTAACCCCTAAATAATGCAAATTCATCAGCTTTTCTTCATCTTTCTATCACCGGCTTGTAGATCGCTTAGAATATTTTGTACTATTGTTAGCCTAAAGGGATTTTCTCCAGAAGGAAGAAAACAAGTCATTATCTCCAACATCTAGCACAGTGCTTGGTAAACAGTAGACTCTTGACAAATGATGGCAAATAATGAATTATTAAAAACTGTACAATAAAAAATGATGTCAGTGATTTGATTACAAATTCAGTAACACATATTTGTTAAGTAGATTGATGTAACTTATTCTACTTACATCGCATAAGGCACCATAGCGAAGAATAGACAGCAAAGAATGTACGTGACTTTCACTGGTAAAATATAATCTGGTACGGACATGACGTTCAGGTGACAGAACCCCTCTGGAATACCTAAAAGTCAGAAGCAGACAGTGTTAAAACATTACCATACAGTTAAGACTTATTAAGTACTGAAATTATTTTGTAAAATGGAATTTAATCTTTCTAGAAGTAAAAGAACATAGTAAGTCAATCTATCACTCTTTCAATCACAAATTGAGGTGTTCTTAGTAGACATTTCTCTAACATGAAGATAACTGAAACTAACTGAGACCACCGAGATTAGTCAAAGAAGAGTTAATATTAGTCAAGTTCACTGTAAGAAGGTCATTTAAGCACCTTTATTACTAATGAAAGATCACATCACTAAAGGAGCTCACAGACGCTAACGCTGCTGAACGAGGGTGATCACTGATGATCGCATGTGAATGGTAACACACATCCCCTTTCCCTGTGTCCCTCAGTGTTTTCCTCCAGTTTGGAGCCAAAAAGAATACAGGTCGAAAAGTTCCCTATTAGGAGCATCTAGGTGATCTGTATTTCCACAGTGTACCAAGTGATATACTCCTGCCTTAGTCACAGAACAACAAAAATTTAGATTTCAAGTATGCAAAAACAGATGCCTATAGACTTAAATACCAGTACAGTCTCTTACACAGGATGGAGTTTATTTACAGTGTCATCATCTTGTGTCCTTTGAAGATCTGAGCGAATTTTTCTAACTAGAGGAGTACAGTAGCCTTTGGCAATCTCCAGTTTTTCAGCTTTAGTTATACCATATTCCTGAGCAGAAAATACACACTATTAGAAAAAGGGTATAATAATAAAGAACTCCAATAAAGGTATTACTAAATTTAAGAATTTTAGTGAGTGACAAATATTTTTATTAAGCCTTTTTTGAACATTACACAATTCCTAGTTTACATTTCCACAACTTCAAGTATATTAGTCCCCAAGCTATTCAGTGTAATTAGAAGAATATTTTTTGGTGGAACTGAAAAAAAACAAGTAATTTCTAAAGAGGAGAGGATGAATGATGAATGCAACCGTTATGATAAGTATTCAACTCAATAAGGTTTTAAATGTAGAAACAACCCTAAAAGAAAGATGGATTAAGTGCACAACTAGTAAAGCATAGAATAGTCAATAAACATAAAGAAATACAAATTGAAACCATGAAATTTGTCTATTTGAATGTCAAAGATTAAAAAGGTTAACAAATTATTTTAGTCTTTGGCCAATACAAAGTTTTAACGAGTGGTGAGCCAAAAATGCCATGAAATTATAAAATTTAATGAGCTATATTGCCATTAAAAATTAATCAAATTTATGAGAAATTATAATCAAAAGTATTAAGATAACAGTAATTATAATAGTAATAAAAATTACAGTTCACAGGGATAGATGAGAAAATGATCTGACATGAAAAAATAATTTTTTGCATTAATTAACTGCTTTAATTAGGAAATTGCTATAATAAAACAAGTAACACCATACATTATTTTTCCAATGAGCTTTGGTTTGAGAAACTGAACAGCAGAACTAGATCTTTAAGCTTTGACTCATGGCAAAGCTGGCAGTTCTCTGAAATCTGGGAGATGTGTCAGCAAAATTAGACACAGCCCACCCTTCACCAAAATCCTGGAGAAAAGTGTTTCATGCCTTTGGGGGAGTAAGACTGAACACTGGCTAGGATACGACTTGTTGAAGCCCAGGGAATGACAAGAAATACTGGTACTGGTGGTAGGCAAGAAATAAACTGTGGGGCTGACCAACTGCATGTTTTATTAGTGGCTTTAAATTTAAAAAGTGAAATGCTTCATTGCGTTTTCTCAGAAACTAATCAAAAGAGTGCAGTCCCACACAATTTGGAGACACAAAGTGGATGCTGGGCGACATAGGTCACTCCAGGTGTGGAATTTTGGAAAGTCAGTCCTTGGAGTGAATGGCACTGTGGCTCTGGCAGCAGATACGAAGGAATGATGCTCTGGAGAGGAGGTAGGGGGACATTCTGCGGTCGGCTGCGGGACAGATGAGGGTTCCACCTGGAGGTGGGATCTTTAATTCTATGGTCTATCTTCCACTGCTCATGTCTCTGTCTTTGTAAATGGTAACTGGACCATAAAGAAAGCTCAGCGCCGAAGAATTGATGCTTTTGAGCTGTGGTGTTGGAGAGAGTCCTTTGGACAGCAAGGAGATCCAACTGGTCCATCCTAAAGGAAATCAATCCTGAATATTCATTGGAAGGACTAATGCTGAAGCTCCAATACTTTGGCCACCTGATGCGAAGAACTGACTCATTAGAAAGAACCTGATGTTGGAAAAGACTGAAGGCAGGAGGAGAAGTGGATGACGGAGGATGAGATGTTTGGATGGCATCACCAACTCGATGGACATGAGGTTTGAGTAAGCTCCGGGAGTTGGAGATGGACAGGGAAGCCTGGCGACCTGCAGTCCATTGGGTCGCAAAGAGTTGGACACGACTGAGCCACTGAACTGAATAAAAAAATCTGTGATGAGTGTATAAATAGGAAGAGAAGGTTTAAGAGGAAGAAGGCAGAAAGGGGGTAAAGGCAGAGGGAAGCAGGGACAGAGAAAGAAGGAAGAGTAGACATAATGAGGGAAGAAACAGGCATACATTCTCTCCCCAAGATTTTTCTGGCACACCTGTATTTAAAGGTTACATAAGGTACTTCCCAGATGGCAAAAAATTAATATGGACAATGAATCTCAAAGCCGCCTAATACAAAAAAAGGTTGACTGATTACACATGGAAGATGTATGAAAATGGAACTTCTTGGGTCATTTACCTTTAAACACAAAAGTCTGGTTGGCGTGGTAATCTCACCAACATAAAGAAATTGGGCATGAAAAATATGAAATGTGTATGTAACTGCATATGTATGTGCAAACAAAAGGAAAATGCTGAAATTTAAAATCATCAAAGGAAGTTTTTCTGTCATTACTGGGCAAGGTACAAGTAAACAGTCACTCTCATACACTGAGAGCCTGGTAGAAAGCTGGTAAGAGATCCGGAGCTACAGGGATAGTCTTAACTGCACGTAAAGACATACATAAGGAAAGTGTAAGAAATTAAAGGAATCCTCATTTCCAAATGCGAAAAGTTGGTTAAATAGTATTTCATTGGCTATTAGGGATAATGAAGTATATTTAGCTTTTCTGATTTGGAAAAAACTTCTTGAGGCCAAGAAAAAAAAAAATCAGGTTGTAAAACAGTATGCTTTCCTGGTTCCATTTTTGCAAAGAACATATTTGTTATATATATATGAATTTACAAAAAAAAAAAGTCAATGATTTTAAGGGAAAAGGCCTTTCAGAATTTTCTGTAACTGAAATGTTTTTGTCTAATTGGTAATGCCATATTGATTTTTTTTTGGCCATATATGTTCCCATTTTACAACAAAGATATATTATTTTCATAGTAAAGACTTCTTTTCCTTTAAAACAGTGACATATATTGTGGATCTGAAAAAGCAAGTTGCCACAACCAGTTAGGACCAAATAAATAACTGTTAGATGCCCAAGTTCTCTTATAATTATAGTAGTTCTGCCATAAAAAGAACTGACTAAAATAACAGCTGAAGGTATTTGAAAGTTTATTATGTGACACATTTAATAAGTATCATTGGAATTTATATTGCAAATACTATTATAAAGAACTCTCTGCATTTCATTATCTACAAATAACCAAAGAAATGATCTTCCAACTTCAACAAATGTGTGCCATCTCAATTCAGTTCAGTCGCCATCTCAATTAAGAGAATCTTAATATTAAATATAATCTTTTATTTTTAATTTAATTTCATTTATTAAAATGTACATATAAAAATACATATAAAATATTATGAATTCTAAAAACTTTGCAAATGCTAAAGTATTTTAAACATTTCCAAAGGATAATTCAACTATATCAAATATTATTATAATCTTTAAATATCTTTATCTTCCATCATACCATTGAGGCTATTTTTACTATTCAATCTACTGAGGTAATGTTGGTTTATAACATGTTTCATGCATACAGCTTCTGTATAAACTACAGTATGCGCAACATCAAAAACTTAGCTTCCACCCATTACCATATAAATGACCCCCTTTACTCAATTCACCTCCTTTCCCTTTTAGTAATTATTACTCTGTTCTCTATGTTTCTTTTGGTAGGTTTGCTCACTTATTTAAAAAATTTTAATATTTCACATTTATGTGAAATTATATAGTATCAGTTTTCATCTGAAAGACTTATTTAATGCAATATCCTCAAGGTCCATCCATGTTGCCACAAATGGCAAGATGACACATATCTTTTTTATGGCTGGGTAATATTCCACTGTATTATATACCCTCCTTCATCCGTTCATTTATCAATGGGCAATTTCCATATCTTGGCTATTGTAAATAATGCCACAGTGAACACAGGGCTGTATTCAAATTACTCTCTTCATATTTTTTAGATAAATGCCCAGAAGTGGAATAGCTAGATCATACACTAGTATTATTCTTAAGTTTCTGAGGGACGTCCAAACTGTTTTCCATAGTGGCTGCACCAATTTACATGCCTGCCAACAGTGTACCAGGGTTCCCTTTTCTCCACATCCTTTCCAGTACTTATTACTTCTTGCCTTTTTGATAACAGCCTGAGATGATTCTAACAGGCCTGAGATGATCTCTCATTCTGTTTTTGATTTGCACTGTCCTAATAATTAGTGATGATGAACATCTCTTCATGAGTTTCTTGGCAGTCTGTATGTCTTTTTTGGAAAAATTCTTAGCTCTTCGGCTCACTGTTTAATTGGGTTATTTGGGTTTTTTGTGGAGTTAAAGGAGTTCTTCACATATTTTTATTATCATCTCCAAATTGAATATATGATTTGCAAATATCTTTTCTCATTTGGTAATTTGTCTTTTCAATATTTAATGTACAGAGGCTTTTTAGTTTGATGTAATCCCATTTGTTAGTTTTTGTTCTCTTCTTCAGTTGTTGCTCAATCATGAACTCTTTGCAACCCTATGGACTGCAGCACACCAGGTTTCCCTGTCCTTCACCATCTCCCAGGGTTTATGCAAACTCATGTCTGAATCGGTGATGTCATCCAACCATCGCCTCTGTTGTCCCCTTCTCCTCCTGCCTTCAGTCTTTCCCAGCATCAGGGTCTTTTCTAACGAGTCGACTCTCCGCATCAGGTGGCCAAAGTATTGGAGCTTCAGCTTCAGCATCAATCCTTCCAATGAATATCCAGGATTGATTTCCTGTAGGATTGACTGGTTTGATCTCCTTGCAGTCCAAGGGACTCTCAAGAGTCTTCAACACAACAGTTCAAAAGCATCAATTCTTTGGCACTCAGCCTTATTTATGGTCTAATTCTCACATCCATACACGACTACTGAGAAACCACAGCTTTGACTAGATAGACCTTTGTCAGTAAAATAATGTCTTTGCTTTTTAATACACTGTCTAGGTTTGTCATAACCTTTCTTCCAAGGAGCAAGCGTCTTTTAATTTCATGATGCAGTCGCTATCTGCAGTGATTTTTGAAGCCCAAGAAAAAGTCTGTCACTGTTTCCCCTTCTGTTTGCATGAAATGATGGGACTGGATGCCATGATCCTCGTTTTCTGAATGTTGAGTTTTAAGCCAGCTTTTTCACTCTCCCCTTGCAAATTCATCAAGAGGCTCTTTGGTTCCTCTTTACTTTCTGCCAAAAGGGTGGTGTTATCTTCATATCTGAGGTTATTGATAGTTCTCCCAGAAATCTTGATCTCTCTTCCAGTAGGTGGCACCATAGCACAAGCTTTCAGTTTTTCTTAAGCCACCTGCTGGTTGTATCTGAGAAACTTTTGACACTCCACTGCACCTGTTAGGTGTGGTCACCTGGTGTCCCTGTCCCTACTGTTGCCTCCAGGGTCGCTGGTGCCTTGTTTCTATGGGTGCTGCCAGGGTCTCTGCCCAGGCCGCCGGGAAAAGGAGCCCCTCCACTGCGTCCAGGGTCTCCTAGGTCTCAGGCTTCGCCACTACAAGGGGACAAAGAGGTGGGGGAAGGGAGCCAGGATCACAGGAACCCCTTTCATGTCTAGGGTTGTTAGTGTTCATGGGCACTGCCACGGCCAGCGTGGTGAGAGCTGCAGCTCTTACCTCCACAGTGGGAGGACCTCATGGCTGGAAGGATGGGGTGGCAGGCCCCAGGACCGCCAGCGGCCAGTCCCTCGCAGCCAGGGGTGCCACTGCAGCTGAGACGCTGGAGTTGCGTGTGCCACAGCTCCTAAAGCTCCTGCGTTCTCTGAGGCTCAGGCTCAGCCAACGAGGACCGGAGGTCTGGGAACACAGGCACGCGCGCTGTTTCCTAGCCCAGCTACTTTCAGGTATAAGATGGACAGAATTTTGTGGTGCCCTGGTGTGTTAAGCAGAGGCACCTTTGTTGAGTTGTATATATTTAACTGGTTGTAGATTGAAGGGGATAGACAAAGGGAGCATGTTACATGGCCATGATGCTTGATGTCACATCCCACTGTGACTATTTTTAAAGTACCTTCTTTTTTTTGGCTGTGCCACACAGCTTGCAGGATCTTAGTTCCCCAACCAGGGATTGAACCCAGGCTCTCAGCAGTGCAAGTGCTGAGTCCTAACCACTGGATTGCCAGGGTACTTCCAATTTCTAAGTGTCATTTTTAGAGGACTGAGGCTGAAAAGTTGAGTCTATCACAGCAAAAATACATACCATAATCACACCTATTAACTGTTACAGTAACTAAAAGTAATAAATCATGTTTATCATATGTAAGAAAAGATCCTGATGCTGGGAAAGACTGAAGGCAAAAGGAGAAGAGGGTGGCAGAGGATGAGATGGTTAGATAGCATCAGTGATTTAATGGACATGAATTTCAGCAAACTCTGGGAGGTAGTGAAGAACAGGGAAGCCTGGCGTGCTGCAGTCCATAGGGTTGCAAAGAGTCGGACATGACTTAGCAACTGAGCAACAACAATATGATTAGAATTACATAATTCACAAAGCATAGTTATAACAATTAACGCAATGTAAGAGTGAAAACAGGTTTTTTTGAGGCATAGCAGAATATATATACCTTTTTCTTAGAAAGATACTGATACTCTCTCAATCTAAGTTAGCCTAACTAATACATTATTTGACTGAGTCATCAAGTCTCTAAGCTTGAAATATCTTTGTCAAGTAAACATGCAAATTTCTCATTTTTTATTATAAACTACAGCTTCATTATAATTAAATAGGTTTACAACTTTAGTTATCTGTTCAGTGACTGAAAAAGTCTATCTCTTGCCTATGATTTTAGATTTATGCAGACTTTAGTAACAAAATTTAACTGACTGGATTCAACTGTGCATTAAAAAAGAGGAAATCCCAAGTTTCTGCATAACAATGTCAAACCAAAAAGGGAGGTAAATATCTCAAACTTTTCCTAACCATTTCTAATCTTTAGTGTTTTTTAATTATAAAGTTTTAAAAATTCATTATAAATATTTAAATTACAAGGACTTGGTGAAAATTTTCTTCATCTATGTAAGTAACATACCTAAAACACATACACCATGGAAGTAGGAAAAATTATCATCTAAAACTCATTAATATGTAAGTTTTCTTTTGAGCCCAAGTCTTAGAAACAGACTTTCCATTCCCAACTCTAGAATTCTTAGTATACATAATTGAGAAAGAAGAGGTTTGAGATTAAAGAAGCCATGTACAAGACATGATTATGCTAATAAATCTTCAGTGTATCTATTTAGCCACCAAGTAGGTGAGACGTTAAGATATACTGAAAGCCTACCTTGACAAATGCATACAGCTACAAAAATATTTCAGAGGGTCAGATATTTACAGCTTATCTGTTAAAAGTATACTTTAAAATAATCTTCATTTTAAGAGTAAGTACAACTAAGATGCATTGAGCCTGGAATAATGTAAAAGCAATTCAATACAATGGAAAAAAAATCAGTCTTATGTATGCTTCCAGGGCAAACTAATTACATACTTATCAGAAATAAGAGTAACCATTCTCCTCAAATTTTTTAGTAAGTAAAATCTGAATAAATTCTCTCTTGAATTTCATAACAAAGATAGATGCTGATTTAGTAACTTTACTGAAAGAGATACAATCAAATCAGTGTTAGCTCTATAATCTTCTATGTATACCATGTAGCTAAAACAGAGTTCTGCAGAATTTAGTGTGTTCATTTTTATATTAATCTTAAAATGTTATAAAAATACAACTTTTTATTGTGTAAAATAAAATTTGTTTTGCAAAATGAAACTTTTATTTAACAAATGAAAGATGCTATCAGAGAGTCAATTCTTGTTTTCTAAGTCTGTATTTCTTAAAATGAGTCCCAAAGGCATATTCTTAAAGTATGAGATATTTTTACCCTCTTTTGAAATCAATTTATTTTCAAATCACTGACTTATACAATATATTTATAATCATCTACATTATATATACTGACCAAAAAGAAAAAAAGTTGCTCTTTCATGTTGAAAGGATAAGCTAAACTTTAACAGGTACACACATACTTAGTTATGAAGTCTGAATTCCCAATTTTTCAAAGTCTCTATAGTTTTTCACGGACATTCTGTGATATTAGGAAAGGGAAACTGCAGTTTTAATTATAGTGGATTTACAATACTATGTTAGTTTCAATTGTACAGCAAAGTGATTCAGTTTTTTATATATATATATTTTCAGATTATTTTCCACTATAGGTTACTACAAGATACTGAATATAGTATCCTATGCTATACAGTAAATTTGTGTTACTTATCTATTTTGTGTATAGTAGTTTATATTCCATATTTTTTATTTATTCCTTCCCCTCTCTTCTTCCATTTTGGTAACTGTAAGTTTGTTTTCTATGTATAGGAGTCTGCTTCCACTTTTTAATATTGATTCATTTGTATTATTTTTTAGATTCCACATGCAAGTGATAATAACATCTGTCTTTCTCTGACTTAACTCAGTACAATGTTCTCTAGGTCCATCCATGTTGCTACAAACAGCAATATTTTATTTTTATGGCTGAGTAATATTCCACATGCATGTATACACCATATCTTAAACCAATCATACGTTGATGGGCACTTCAGTTGTTTCTATGTCTTGGTTATTATAACTCCTATCAACATTGGGGTGCATGCATCTTTTTGAAATAAGAGTTTTTATCTTTTCTGGATCTATGGCAGGGAAAGGGATTGCTGGATCATACAGTAGCTCCAGTTTTAGTTATCAAAGAACTTCCCTATTGTTTTCTACATATGAGTATCTTTAAGTGAGGCTTTTTAAAAAATATACAGTCCTTACACTTTTCATGTACAGTGACTCCTGAACAACGTGGAAGTTAGGAGTGCCAACCCTCCATGCCACTGAAAATTTAAGTGTAATTTATTTGTGGCTCTGCATCCATAGCAGATGCAACCAATCATGGATCTGTGGATGGTGCAGTACTGTAGTATTTACTATTGAAAAGAATCCACATGTAGGTGGATGCACTACAGTTCAAACCCACGTTGTTCAAGAATCAACTGCATTTCCTTCTCCCGTCTGTAACCTCGGTTCACAGTTGGAAATGTGTGACTTACTCCAATCTCCCTTTCACAATGTCCAAATGACCTGTGAGTGACGAAGGTGAGAAAAGGTCTCCAAACGGCATCTGTCACTGTTTTCTTCTAACACAGCTCTTATCTCAACTTGTTTTGTCACTTGACTTGTTATTATCAGTCTGATTCTATGTTTAATTTTAGTTATCTGAGTTTTAGTACACCTTTATTTTTACTCTCCTATAACGAAAAGACCCCTCTACCACACCATACAAATAACTATTTACATCTTGACCTCTAAATATTCTTTTCAAAATACTTTCACATAAAGTAAAAAAATAAACAACTTCCAAAATTAATATAGAGACACAACTACCTTTACCTCCCACTCTACACGCATTCCCACAGCACAGCACTGGCATGCACACAATAAACGCTCAATAAATACTAAAGTGATTTATCCCATTGTATCTTCAGTTGTTTGTTCTTTATTTTTTAATTACTCTTTAAGAGTATCAATTCTTAAAATTTAAAAGGTCATTACAAACTATTAAAAAATCAAACAGTGATTTAATACAAGAAGTTTTTGTAAATTCATAACAACTCAATTTCCTTTTTAAAGTTATAGGTTTACTGAGACACAGAAACCAACTTTCTCTTAACAGTGGATAGATATTTTAAAAGTATCTATAGAAAAGTACCAGAAAATTGAAATGTAGAAATTACTTACCTGAGGGATAACTATATCTGCTAGCGCCTTTGAAAGCCTATATAATTCCATCGTGTCTTCTAATTTCAAGGAACCATTATGTTGGACATCGTATTTTATACAGTCATATATGTCAGGGATCTTGCTAATATCATATCTTCCATTTTTTGTCTTAAAGTCTTTCTCCAACTTGGACCATCTACGGAGCATGAGCTCTAAGGTCTCACTATGATAAAGCTGAATATCTAAAACAACATAACAATTTTACTGTATTAAACTTGTAAACAAGCTAGGAAATATCATCATAGGCATATACTATTAGCAACCATATATTCTGTAGATTTGAATAAAGGTACAAATGCATGGGTTAGGAACTGTTTTTATAAAAGACCTTTCCATATGTTACATACATCAGTTTCCCACGTTAGTAACTAAGCCACTCTCAGCACCAGAGCACAGATCACCTTCCTACTGCTTTCTCCTTCTTATCATGCTGCCTGTTTGCTGCTCAGCTGTATGGTTTTTTGTTTGTTCTTTAGTCACTCAGTCATGTCCAACTCTTTATGACCCCATGGACTATAGCTCGCTAGGCTCCTCTATCCATGGGATTTCCCAGGCAAGAATACTGAAGTGGGTTGCTATTTTCTTCTCCAGGGGATCTTCCCCACCCAGTGATCGAACCTGTTTCTTGCATTAGCAGGCAGATTCTTTACTACTGAGCCACCAGGCAAGCCCCAACTGTACGGTAATGCTACATAATTAATCAACGAACAATGTTTTATTATCTTTCTCACGATACCATAGTTGAAAGCAACTATAACTTTGCTATTATTCTTTTGCTGGATATATATTAACTCAAATAATATTTAGATATAGCAATAAACTAAGGAAAATTCTGAAAGAGATGGGAATACCAGACCACCTGACCTGCCTCCTGAGAAATCTGTATGCAGGTCAGAAAGCAACAGTTAGAACTGGACATGGAACAACAGACTGGTTCCAAATTGGGAAAGGAGTAGGTCAAGGCTGTATATTGTCACCCTGCTTCTTTAACTTCTGTGCAGAGTACATCATGAGAAACTCGGGGCTGGATGAAGCACAAGCTGGAATCAAGACTGCCGGGAGAAATATCAATAACCTCAGATATGCAGATGACACTCTTATGGCAGAAAGCAAAGAAGAACTAAAGAGACTCTTGATGAAAGTGAAAAGAGGAGAGTGAAAAAGTTGGCTTAAAGCTCAACATTCAGAAAACTAATATCATGGCATCTGGTCCCATCACTTCATGGCAAACAGATGGGGAAACAGTGGCAGACTTTATGTTTTGGGCTCCAAAATCACTGCAGATGGTGACTACAGCCATGAAATTAAAAGACGCTTACTCCTTGGAAGGAAAAGTTATGACCAACCTAGACAGCATATTGAAAGCAGAGACATTACTTTGCCATCGAAGGTCCGTCTAGTCAAGGCTATGGTTTTTCCAATAGTCATATGTGAGAGTTGGACTATAAAGAAAGCTGAGCACTGAAGAAATGATGCTTTTGAACTGTGGTGCTGAAGACTCTCAAGAGTTCCTTGGACTTTAAAGAGATCCAACCAGTCCATCCTAAAGCAAATCAGTCCTGAATATTTATTGGAAGGACTGATGCTGAAGCTGCAGCTCCAATACTTTGGCCACCTGACGATGCAAAGAACTGACTCATTTGAAAAGACCCTGATGCTGGGAAAGATCGAAGGTGGGAGGAGAAGGGGCAACAGGGGATGGGATGGTTGGATGGCATCACCAACTCAATGGACATGAGTTTGGCTAAACTCCGGGAGTTGGTGGTGGACAGGGAGGCTTGGCGTGCTGCGGTCCATGGGGTTGCAAAGAGTCGGACACGACTGAGCAACTGAACTGAACCGATAGCATTAAAGCTCTTTTATGATTGGTGAATCTTATTTTAAAATGTTTACAGAAATGGGATAGTGATTTTTATTTTCTGACCCAAGGAAAACAATATTTACCTGATGATTTGGGATCTTCCATTCGATGTCTGATTTGAGAAGTCAAACTTTGTATCAAGGAATACACCGTGTCACAGGTCTTTACAGGATTTTTAATTAAATGCATTGATTTGATAAGAGAAATGCTTCCAGATGGAGTAAGCTACAAATGAATAGAGTATACATTTTTATATCTGGTTATGCTCAACTGACCAAAAGGACAATATACAAAATTTTCTAGTAGCTGGAGATTAAATTCAAACTACAAATCCCCAAATCTGTAGTTAAATTAAATCTGCAGATATAGAAGAGGAAATAAAAAACTAAAAATTTCAGGTTAAAAAAATCCTAAACCTTAGATAACATTAGATTATCCACAGGGAAAATCTAACAAAAGTACTCTAACTTACAAAGAGATTTTATGCTAACATAGTGATATTTTACTGACTCACTTGGTATTTGAAAATACGGTTTAATCATTTGACACATATTGACAAATAATAACCCTAAGGCTATGATTATCATCGCTTTTCCCAGATGAGGTACTTAAGAAAGATTAAAGCACCTTTCCCAAGATCAAACCACTAGTATGTAAACAGTGGCATAAAAAAGCAGGTAACCTGGCTAGAGACCTGAGCTCTTAACCATCATGTAAACGCCTTTGTGATGAGATTTCTTCCAAGTCAACAAAAGCCATTAATGACAAAACAGTTTCAATTTTCACTGTTGAAACTTTGCTTGGCAATTCAACCCTAAATAAGTTTCCATAAATACAAAAAATGTAAAGTGCAATTCCACTTCTTGTTATGGTGAACTAATTAATTTGGGTCAAGCTAAAGACTGAAGCTTGGACAAAAGTGAAGTCCAGGATTTCCAGAGGTGGAACTCTGGTAAACTCTGCATTTGGGGTTCAAAAAAGTTATAAACTGTAGTCTGCATTTTTAACAAGAACTTAGATGACTCTTATTCAAGTATGAGTTTGAAAAACACTCTCATTCCAGAGTCCTTGCCTTGTCCAGGAAGAGGGTAAGGGCATGATGTAAACATTCAATTGGTAGATATCATTAAAGCCTACTGTTACTCTGGGGTAATGACAAAACAAATAATAAAATCAAACACAATTTTAAAACTACCAGGGAAATAAATAAATAAAAAGTACCAATTCCAATGAAGCAAGAAAGGAGAGAAAAATAAAAATAGGCAGTATAAATATAAAGCACTTAACAGGATAATAGATTCATACATAAATTTGAGTATTTTATAATACAAATAAAATAACTGCCCTAAACAACGATTTTCACAACTAAAAAAAACTACATGCAGATTTTAAGAGATGCATCTAAAAATAGTTTCAGAAAGACTAAAAGAGATACGAAGGGTATTATACAAAAACCAAGTAAAAGAAAAAATTTTTGCAGCTATATTAATTTCAAAGTATTCTGAGGCAAAAAAATACTGAGACATACCAATTCTAATTTGTATGCACTTAATAGCATAGCATCAAAACACATAAAACAAAGATTAAGAGACTACAAAGACAAGAAAAATCCCTAATTACAGGTGGGAAATTTAACATACAACAGTAAAGAAAGAAAAAACAGACCAAAAAATATCAGGAGGACTATCTTTTTACCAAAATAATATAAAGTTAGAAATAACAAAAATATAACTTAAAAATGTATCAGTTTGGAAATTATAAAAGTACACTTCTAAATAACCTATGATCAAGGAAATCACAATTAGAATATGCCCCAAATGGCACAAACCTCAGTTTATGAATACAGCCAAAACAGTGTATAAAGGGAAATTTATGGCATAGAGTGTGTGTTTTAGAACAGATGGAACATTCATGATTTAATAAACATCCTTCTAGGGACATTAGTTTTTAAGAGTTAGAGCAAAATAAAATTGTAGAAGTGGAAGGAATAAATTAAACAATAAAAATTAGTAAAACTGAAAACAAGTACATAATTTAGGGCACCAATAAATTTGAAAGACAGCTCTTTTACAGGACTAATAAAGCTCATCAACTATGGCAAAAGTGATTAAGGAAAAAAAGGGGGGAGAAAGACTGTACAATGTTATGAAACAAAAAGAAGTGTCTCTACTGATCTTGCAGACATTACAAAGAACTTAAGAGGACTGTATAAACAAATTTCTAGACAAATGTAACAATACAGACACAAGATACAATAAATAAAAATTACTAAATTACTCTAGGAACCATAATTATAAGTTTTCCCATAAAGAAAATGCCCATGGGATTTATCAGTAAATTTTACCAAACATCTAATGAAACATATATACATGAATTATTCCCTCCAAGGAGGACTCCCTAATTTTATGAAAACAGCATAAACTTGATATTGAAAGCAGACAAAGACAACAGGGATAAAAAAATAAAGGTCAATTTGACTCATGAACATAAATGTAAAACTCCTAACCAAAAATATTAGTAAACCCAAACCAATGAGATATGTAGTTTTGAAATGACTTTATTCTGGGAACCAAGGTAGACTCTATCAAAAATCATATATTTAACAAACAGAAAGAGAATATAAAATGTAAAAACTTGTCATGACAAAAACTCTTAACAAAAATCTGCGGAGATCATACTTAATGCACAGTGTTAAAAAAGCTTTCCCTTTGAGAATATGAACAAACACAGAAAAGCCACTCAATTTAATATGACTTTGATGGTGCTAGCAATTAAAGCATAGCAAGAAAAAGAATTAAAAGCATAAAGATAGGAAAGGAAGACAAAAACCTGTGGATATCTTTTGGAAAGGTTTTTTAAAAACCGAGATACATTACCAAGTTAATGAATAACCAAGTTAATAAATAAGTTTAATATAGTTGACATATATGAAGTCAATATTAAACAAACTTTGTACATAGCAGCAACAGACAGTAACCGTTTTAGAGGTACCATTTATAACACAAGTATTTTTTTAAAAATATGTTTTTTTACAAACTAAAGATCTAATTCAATCTAAATCAATATCCCAACAAGACCTTTGGCCAGCTTATTTTAAACTTCATATGGAAATACAAGAAAAGTCAAGAAAACTTGAAGAAGGACCCATGTAGGATTTGGGAGATCTCATTCAATGGCAGAAAAGCCAACAAAGGAGTATGTTCCAGAAACTACACACATATGATAAAGCTGATCCTACAAGGTAGTGGGAAAGGATAGTCTTTTCAGTACGTGGTGTTGAGACACCTGGATGTACATATGGTTGGGGGGAAATACCAACTTTGATATCCTTATCTAATGGCACACACAAAAGTCAATTTTTAGCTGTATGGCAGATAAATGAGCATGAAAAAGCAAAATTTATAGAAGACCATACATGGGCATATCCTATGACGCCCTTGTTAGAAAAAGGTATTATAAAATGCCCTGAACGCACAGAGACTGACCAGACCTGCCTGTGAGTGTCCTGTCTCCTGCAGAGGCACAGGTCAGCAGTGGCCTGCCACGGGGACAGGGGCTCTGACTGCAGCAGACCAGGCTCACCCAGTGTGTGGCATAAGCCCCCTTGGAGGAGGTCGTCTCAATCCCCACCATAGGGCTGCCCAGCAGATGCCCCACAAACTGCAGAACAATTATACCAAAGAAATATTAGCACTGTTTAGAAAGTTCTAGGACCCTCAACAGATTTCCCAACCTGGGGATCCGGCAAAGGGACTGAGAAGCCCCAGAGAATTTGACTTTGGAGGACAGTGGGAGACTGAGCCAGACTTGCCTGTGAGTGGCCAAACAATGCACCCATCAACAGAAAACTGGATGAAAGATTTACTGAGCATAGCTCTGCAAATCAGAATAAGATGTAGTTTCCCCCACAGTCAACCTCTCCCATCAGGAAGCTTCCATAAGTCTCTTATCCTTCTCCATCAGAGGGCAGACAGACTGAAAAACACAATCACAGAAAGCTAAACTAAACTGATCACACAGACCACAGCCTTGTCTAACTCAATAAAAGTTATGCCATGTGGGGCCACCCAAGCCCTACATGGTGTCGTGGGTAGGTCATGTGGAGAGTTCTAAAAAACATGGTCAACTGGAGAAGGGAATAGCAAACCACTTCAGTATTCTTGCCTTGAGAACCCCATGAGTACAGAAAGGCAAAAAGACAGGGCACTGAAAGATGAACTCCTCAGGTCGGTAGGTGCCCAATATGCTACTGGAGATCATTGGAGAAATAACTTCAGAAAGAATGAAGAGACGGAGCCAAAGCAAAAAGAACACCTAGTTGTGGATGTGACTGGTGATGGAAGTAAAGTCCAATAATGTGAAGAACAATACTGCGTAGGAAGCTGGAATGTTAGGTCCATGAATCAAGGCAAATTGGAAGTGGTCAAACAGGAGATGGCAAGAGTGAACTTCGGCATTTTAGGAATCAGTGAACTAAAATGGACTGGAAGGGGCAAATTTAATTCAGATGAACATTGTATCTACTACTGAGGGCAAGAATTCCTTAGAAGAAATGGAGTAGCCATCATAGTCAACAAGAGTCCAAAATGTAGTACTTGGATGCACTCTCAAAAACGACAGAATGATCTCTGTTCGTTTCCAAGGCAAACCATTCAATATCACGGTAATCCAAGTCTATGCCCCAACCAGTAATGCTGAAGAAGCTGAAGCTGAACGGTTCTATGAGGACCTACAAGACCTTCTATAACTAACACCCCAAAAATATGCCCTTTTCATTACAGGGGACTGGAATGCAAAAGTAGGAAGTCAAGAAATACCTGGAGTAACAAGCAAGTTTGGCCTTGGAGTACAAACTGAAGCAGGGCAAAGGCTAATGTTTTGCCAAGAGAACTCACTGGTCAAAGCAAACACTCTCTTCCAACAACACAAGAGAAGACTCTACACATGGACAACACCAGATGGTCAACACTGAAATCAGACTGATTATATTCTTTGCAGCCGAAGATGGAGAAGCTATATACAGTCAGCAAAAACAAGACTGGGAGTTGACTGTGGCTCAGATCATGAACTCCTTGTTGCCAAATTCAGTCTTAAACTGAAGAAAGTGGGGAAAACCACTAGACCATTCAGGGATGACCTAAATTAAATCCCTTATGATTATATATTAGGAGTGACAAACAGATTCAAGGGATTAGATCTGAAAGAGAGCCTGATGAACTATAGACAGAGTTTCGTGACACTATACAGGAGGCAGTGATCCAGACCATCCCCAAGAAAAAGGAATGCAAACAGGCAAAATGGTTGTCTGAGGAGGCCTTACAGCCAGCTAAGTAGAGAAAAAAAGAGAAGCTAAAGGTAAAGTAGAAAAGGAAAGATATACCCATCTGAATGCAGAGTTCCAAAGAATAACAAGGAGAGAGAATAAAGCCTTCCTCAGCAATCAATGCAAGGAAACAGGAAAACAACAGAATGGGAAAGACTAGAGATCTCTTCAAGAAAATTAGAGACACCAAAGGAACATTTCATGCAAAGATGGGCACAATAAAGGAAGGAAACGGTATGGACCTAACAGAAGCAGAAGGTATTAAGAAGAGGTGGCAAGAATACACAGAAGAACTATACAAAAAAGATCTTCATGACCCAGATAACCACGATGGTGTAATCATTCACCTAGAGCCAGACATCCTGGAATGTGAAGTCAAGTGTGTCTTAGGAAGCATCACTACGAACAAAGCTAATGGAGGTGAAGGAATTCCAGCTGAGCTATTTCAAATCCTAAAAGATGATGTTGTTAAAGTGCTGCAATCAATATGCCAGCAAATTTGGAAAACTCAGCATGGCCACAGGACTGGAAAAGGTCAATTTTCATTCCAATCTCAAAGAAAGGCAATGCCAAACAATTTTCCAACTACTGCACAGTTGCACTCATCTCACACACTAGCAAAGTAATGCTCAAAGTTCTCCAAGCCAGGCTTCAACAGTACAGGAACCAAGAACTTCCAGATGTTCAAGCTGGTTTTAGAAAAGGCAGAGGAACCAGAGATCAAATTGCCAACATCTACTAGATCACAGGAAAAGCAAGAGTGTTCCAGAAAAACATCTACTTCTGCTTTATTGACTATTCCAAAGCGTTTGACTGTGTGGATCACAATAAACTGTGGAAAATTCCTCAAGAGATGGGAATACCAGACCACCTTACATGCCTCCTGAGAAACCTGTATGCAGGTCAAGAAGCAACAGTTAGAAGTGGACATGGAACAATGGACTGGTTCCAAATTGGGAAAGGAGTACGTCAAGGCTGTATATTGTCACCCTGCTTATTTAACTTATATGTAGAGTATACCATGCAAAATGCTGGACTGGATGAAGCACAAGCTGGAATCAAGATTGCCGGGAGATATATCAAGAACCTCAGATATGCAGATGACACCACCCTTATGGCAGAAAGCAAAGAAGAACTAAAAAGCCTCTTGATGAAAGTGAAAGAGGAGAGTGAAAAAGCTGGCTTAAAACTCAACATCAAAAAAACGAAGATAACAGCATCCAGTCCCATCACTCCATGGCAAATAGATGGGGAAACAATGGGAAACAGTGACAAATATTTTCTTGGGCTCCAAAATCACTGCAGATGGTGACTGCAGCCATGAGATTAAAAGACGCTTGCCCCTTGAAAGAAAAGCTATGACCAACCTAGACAGTGTATTAAGAAGGAAAGACATTACTTTGCCTACAAAGGTCCATCTAGTCAAAGCTATGGTTTTTCCAGTAGTCATGTGAGAGTTGGACCATAAATAAGGCTGAGCACCGAAGAATTGATGCGTGAGAGTTGGCCATAAATAAGGCTGAGCACCGGAGAATTGATGCTTTTGAACTGTGGTGCTGGAGAGAACTCTTGAGAGTCCCTTGGACTTCAAGGAGATCCAACCAGTCAATCCTAAAGGAAATCTGTCCTGAATATTCATTGGAGGGACTGATGCTGAAGCTGAAGCTCCAATACTTTGGCCACCTGATGCAAAGAACTGACTCATTGGAAAAGACCCTGATGCTGGGAAAGATTGAAGGCAGGAGAAGGGGACGACAGAGGATGAGATGGTTGGATGGCATCACCAACTTGATGGACATGAGTATGAACAAGCTTCCAGAGCTGGTGATGGACAGGGAGGCCTGGTGTTCTGCAGTCTATGGGGTCACAAAGAGTAGGACACGACTGAACTGAACTGAACATAAAGGAAAAACTCACCTGGAAATACATGGAAAATAAGAACTTCTACTTTATCAAAGGAAATCATTAAGGCTCAGAGTAGATGGTAGTACTTAGAATATGTATAACAAAGAGCTCATATCCAAAATATTCAAAGAAATTCTACCATTCATTAAGCAAAACACAGGCAACCAGTAGTAAAAAAGGACGACTTGAAGAGTAGACTTCATGAAAGAAGGTACTTAAGTGGTCAATCGAGTATTAAAACCACAGTAATGTACTACCATACATCCACCTTCAGAACAGTCAAAATTGAATAGTCCAAAAATACTGAGAATAGAGACTATGTAGGGCAATGACAATTTTCACGGACTTCTGGTGGGAGTGTAAATTGCTTCAGTGACTTTGGAAAACTGTTTGACATCATATACTGATACTGAAATATAAGCACACTGCGAGGCACAATACTTGCCCTCCTAGAATATGATATACCAAGAGAAATGTGCTCATCTACATGAGGAGGTATATATGAATATTCATGGCAGCATTAACTGTAACAGCCCCAAACTGTAATATTGGAAAGCCTATATAAATTGGAGCATATTCATAAAATAGAATACAGATCATCAAATTATGACCTGTAGGCCAAACACCACCTATAATAGTCTATGAGCTAAGAAATGGTTTTTACAATTTTTAAAAGGTGGTTTAAAAAAAGTAAAGAATAATGCAACAAGTAACTATATGTGATCTGCAAGGTATAAAATATTTACTATCTGGCCTTTCACAGAAAAAGTTTGCCAACCTCTGAAAACAATACTACATAGAAATGAAAATTAATCAACTATGGCAGTTCTCAAAAATATGGATGAATTTCACAAACATAATATTGAGAAAAAGACATCAGACACTGACCCACCTTTTCATAATCTTCTGCAGTAAAATCTCTGTCTCTCTGAAGTATTTCATGAAGTCTTGCCTTTACACGTTGCTGACAACTGCTCAAAGAATCACTATCACTATCCAAAAGGCCATTCATGTTTGCACTTTTCACCATCTGAACAAGAATGGGTGTAAGTTCTCCTTCTAGAGCTAACAGACCCTAAACACATTAAATAAAAGCCAAAAGAGATTTAAGAATTAGTATGCAAAACAGAAGGCATCTTAATTACTATTTTGTTACATGCAGAATTTCACAGGGTATACACTTACTGTTATAACAAACTTTATTAACACAAATTGTCATGGTCATTTCAGGGTTTTAGTCTGAAGTCTCGAATTTAGAATATTAAAATATTACCTCAGTAAAAATCTTTTAAAATGCTATATCAGATGAAAATTTTAATAATTCTAAAAACATTTATTTATACCTTTGCAAAAGCAGCTGCAGTCATCTGAACTCGTCCTTCATCAGAGGCGTATATTTTAAGGTCATGTCGGTAGGTACTATGTAATCTAAGTAAACCACAACCAGGAAATCCTGCATAATCTCCTGAAAATAAATCCTCAAATCACTTAAGCTATATTTTTATCTCACTGTATTTCTATACTTAATAACATCTGAAAATGAGGATCTGGAAAGACGATGTATGAATCTGACTCAAGTAAAGAAACGCCAAGATTTACCTTGACCGCCAGGATACATACACCTGAAAGCTCTTCCGAGTTCTTCGGCCTGGACCCTGCCTGCAGGGGTTAGTTCTCCTCCCCACTTTAGAACCAGAAGCAAGGATGGCTCTTCTCGTCGGCTATCTAAGATACATGTGAATGGATAGAGCAAATGTCAAGTTTTCTTCTTTTAAACAGATACATTTCATGATTATTTTTTTTCTTTTTGTCTCTTCTGCAGTGGAATGCAGGCCTTATGTAGATTAATTTGTTCCTTAAACATATCTATCCTTTGTAGGCTGTTGCTTCTACTAGGAACACCATTTGCTTCACTTATTAAAATCTTACTAAAATTTCAAAATCTCTCCCATACTCTAGAAAGAAGGCTCTTTCCCAGTTTTCTGAAAGGAAACTTCTCCCTTCCCTGCTCTCAAAATGGTATGAGGGCCAACAGCATTTGCAGGATGTTTTTAGTTGTACTAGATATGCTAGGTTAAGAGCTCCCTGATGACAGGTTCAGAGCTTGTCTTTGCAGTGCTGCCACACAAAAGGTAATTTTATCTGAAGGGAAGAAGATATATACATTTTTATGATTAGTAATCAGTGATTTGTATAACTTTTAAGAAGATATCAGACAACAGAGCTTAATATTTATTATAATTTACATTTACAAGTGAGATATATAATAAAATATAGCCAAAAACTTTTTAAATTTGGAGTGGTAGAATCTGTATGTTCCAGAACAAAGTATTTTCTCAGACACAGAGGATGTCTGAGTTTCTATCCTGAATTTTGACCTACTCTTTATTATGGCCTAAGATCTGTGTTGGGTTCCAGAAACAAAGGTCATTTTATTTTATTTTTATAAAGGTCATTTTAAAAGTAGCACAAAAAACACTAAAGAATTTAATGATTCACTAAAAGTGATAGAAAATCATCCTTTACCCTGGGGCTAGTCAGTAATTGTACATGCAAGCCAACATTCACTTATAATAAAGGCAATTAATTTACTTTTAATTATAGTTATTTATGGAATGCTTTTGATATAAACATTAAAATATAGAAAATTAATCTGCATTGTTACTAATCATGCAGTGTGACAAGAGAGCAATATACGAACTTTCAGAATAAAGATCAACAGAATCAAATTTTGGCTTGCATTTAATCTTTACTTCAAGTTTTGCTCCTATAAATAGTGGGCCACTGTGAATATCCCTATAGAAGATCTTTCTCTCAAGATCTGACTATCCCATTGGGATAGATTCTTTTAAGTATAATTAAGGTCAAAGTATATGAAAAATTTTTGAACTTTCCCCTGCAACCCACCCTCCAGCCGCACCACGCAACGTGCAGGATCTCAGGTCACTGACCAGGGATGGAACCCATGCCACCTACAGTAGAAGCGCGGAGGCTTAACCACTGGACCACCAGGCAAGTTTCATGAAGTTTTCGTTATGTACTGCCAAATTACTTTTCAAAGAGTTATTGTCAATTTACAGTCCTACCAGTGGATAAAATTCTGTCACACTGCATTTTTGTCAGCATTCCTTATTACCATTTGAAAAAAGAATAAAATAAGAAAACACTCTGCCAGTGTGACAGGCAAGACTGATTATTATTATTATTGTACTGGGCATCTCCATTTCTCCATAAAATGGCTCCCCAACCCTTGACCATTTTTCTTTTGAAAAGTAAATGAACTTATGGATTTTTGTGCTCACTGCTCTCAGGAGACTCGTTTTAAATGCTCATCTGATTTATTGAGTGGAGAAAAATATCTGCTTTAGAAACATGGTGATGGTGTATTTTTTCAAATATTCTTTTCCTACTTCTTGAGTTTTCTTCCTTTTTATCCTGTGTGGGTTAGGGGCCCATTAAATAATAATTAGTTATAAAGAAATAAGCTCTATAAAGAATAAAAGAGCACTCCCAAGCAGTTTTTAAAATAATAAAAGGTAACCTTTACCTAAAGGAGAAAAGGTAAAAGACCTTTTATTTTAAGGATAGAAAACAGTTACCAAAGCTGTACATTATTCTTCCTCTATTCAGCATGCCAACCCCTAAACTATTTGACAGAAGATTAAAAAGGTAATCAACAATGAGTAGCACGTTCCTACATATAATTAAAAACTAATAGGCATTAATAGTGACATACCCTCTTCTTCACTAGATGTCTTAGGACAACCATGAGGGAGATAGGTTAACTGGACCTTACGATTTATTCCAGAAAAATGGCCATACCTGAAAAATAAAATGGCAAATACAACAGAGAATATTTAATAAGCATGCAGTACAGCCTCCTAAAGAAAAACTAAAATCTATCTTGTCTTTAAAAATTAAAATAATGACTTTTAAAAAAATTTTGAGTGGTCAAAGAAATAAATCTTGTAAGAGGTATATTGGTGGCACCACTTCCACCTGATTAAAACATAATGTGAAGTTATTTTTCATTTAAACAGCACTGAGTCTATGATTAACGTAACAATCTGGTCTTCATCCTATGTAGTACTTCACCGACAATCCAAATGTGATGTTCTCTTTTGATGGTCTCATCAAAATTAATGCCATTATAAAACAGAACCTTCAATGTAATGATCTCTTTTCTCACTGGTAAAAATAAAAACTTAGTAGACTTTCACTAATTTCACCTGATTTACAGCGAGAAAAAGCAAAATAGATCAAACTGTGAAGGAAATTAACATGAAAAGTCACACATATTTAAAAAAAAAGAGCACTATAAGTAGTTATCAAAATTAAAGGTTTCAAAAAGATACTTACATCTCTAACACAGTCTTAAGTTGTTCAAGTTTTGGTTTGTTTTCTTCAATTTCAGAATCATTATTTTGTCCAAGTTCCATAAGAAGTTGTCGTGCAATATCCAGCACTTCCTGTAAAAGGAATAAAGAACTGAATTTTTATGTAATTTTGCCATTAGTAGTTTAAGACCCAACAAGAAAGCAAATGCACTTGCCTGTAATTGTTTTGGTTTTTTGAGTTTTAATTTCCCAGATTTATATCCATCACACTTTTCAAAGAGATCAAAGAATCTTATGAAAGAGACAGAATACCGTTAGGCACTGCAATAATATTATCTCTGTGGAACAAGCAGCTATAATAAAAGACAGACGAGGGACTAAGGCAACAGCTGGCAACGAACAGCGGACTTGGGGCCTGTGGGCGTCACACAAGGCGTGCCCTCCTTCACTCTACAGTTTCTCTCCTTCATTTGACTGAGAAAACTCGGTATTTTCCTAAACCATATTAAACTAATAATCACTAGATTAACTGAATAAAGTATTAAACTTCCATTCTACTAATTTTCATCTTTACAACACTAAATAAGAGCTAAATCAGGATGATGACCATTTATGGATATTGCTACAGTAATTTTCTGATACTGATACACACAATTTAAGATGGATTTTATTTTGATTTTATTTTTTCCAGTGGTTTAAATATTACTGGTCAAGAAATAGTGGCAGTCTTTCCTCATGATGTATTAATCAAAATAGATAAGCACCCCTCAGAAATACTGAATTATCACATCCTGTGAATTAAATTATTCCCCTTTAAACATACTTTTGATGCCTCACTTCCATTTTCATTTTTTGCTTTGGTGTTCGATCCCCATGACGAATGACGGCTATGACACATCTAAGTTCCATCCTTAAGTTAAAAAAAAACAACATTCTCAATTTTCTAACAAAGATCTGTGTTATATAACTAAGATTAATACATCTAATTTTTTATTTGGAACTATCTTTTACCACTTCAAGATAATGTTCCCATTAAGAACAGCACTTGTAACAACTAGCTTTAATCTTCTGAAGTCAATCCTAAAAAGAATTTAAAAGGCTGGAGTGGAGTAATATCAAGCTATGTAATACTTGCTTCTTCTCCAGAGATGACTATACTAACTTTGGATACAAGCAAATGGACTATAATTCCCTAACTTCATTAATTACCTGCCCAGTGTGGTAGATCATTATACAGAGAGATTTCATTAAATCAAACAAAATAAAGCTGCTATATTTATTTTGCCCATGTAAGAAGAAAAGTATTTCAAACTTAAATTACTGGGAGATAAAAGTATCTTAGTAAGAATGAAAGAAGGTGAAAGTGAAAGTCGCTCAGTGGTGTCTAACTTTTTGCGACCCCATGGAATTCTCCAGGCCAGAATACTGGAATGGGTATCCTTTCCCTTCTCCAGGGGATCTTCCCAACCCAGGTCTCCCACGTTGCAGGAGGATTCTTTACCAGCTGAGCCACAAGGGAGGGTTTAAACTACCATTTGTCAAATTATGAGACACAGAACACAACTCTCTAGAGTAAGTCACCCGAAAATATATTTTGTATTAAATAAGTTTGGAAATACTGGTTTAAAAACAAAATTAAGTGTTTCTGTCCTCTCTTCTGCCCCAATCAGGAATCCTCAGAATTTTTAACATGCTAACATAAAGCTCTAGCTCACATGAATAACAAGTGAATTTCAGGTAGTCAATTTCCCTAGAAATTTTATAAAGCACTTTGGCAATATTGGTCTAATTAATTTACTTCAAGATATAACTGTATTTTTCCTTTACATGCTGAGAGCACGAAAACTGTAAACCACTGACCATGAGCCTTTAAACCACTGCCACCTCCTTTATTCTTACGGCTTAGTTCAACAGTTCTATAATTATCCAAAATTTTTTCGGAATTTTAACAACAGAAAAGATCTTTAGTCTAAATGCGTGTGTGAGTGCTCAGCTGCTTGGCCATGCGCAACTGTTCATGACTCTATGGGCCGGTGCCTACTAGGTTCCTCTGTCCCTGGGATTCTCCAGGCAAGAATACTGGCTGCTGCTGCTGCAGCCAAGTCGCTTCAGTCGTGTCCGACTCTGTGTGACCCCGCAGACGGCAGCCCACCAGGCTCCCCGTCCCTGGGATTCTCCAGGCAAGAACACTGGAGTGGGTTGCCATTTCCTCCTCCAGGGAATCTTCTCGATGAAGGGATCTGACTCTAGGGATCCTGCATCTCCTTGCATTGGCAGGAGGATTCTTTACCACTGAATCACCTGGGAAACTCCTTCATTCTAAATAGCCCATGGAATCCTCAGGCCTGGTGCACTGGGATGACCCAGAGGGCTGGGATGGGGAGGGAGTTGGGAGGGGGTTCAGGATGGGGAACACATGTACACCTGTGGCAGACTCAAGTCAATGTATGGCAAAACCAATGTAATGCTGTCAAGTAAAATAAATAATTTAAATAAATAGCCCATGTAAAAGCATTTATTTTTCCATTTGGAAAGTGAATCATATGAAAATATACAAAGTAAAGTATTTAATATTATTCAGATATGTAATCTTTACTGTGATAGCACAGGCCAATAGGGAAACACAAGGAATTTCTAAATGAAAATATTCAAACTTACATAGTTCCAGATGTAGTTGGTACAATCGGGATATCTTCAGCTTCTAACGGTATTGACCAGGGGATATGAAATTGTGGAGCAAGCTCTCGCATTACAATATTCCTTCAAGACAAAAAAAGAAAACTTAAACTAGTTCATTTTAAGACAAACCTGGGTGTTAATGACAAAAGAAAATCATAGAAGTTAAAATCAAACTATCTAGTAATTATGTGAATGCAGTACATAAAAAGTAAACTAAGAAAAAAATCAGTCCTGATCAAGCAAAATTAGATCAGCAGCACTAAACTGATACATAGAACACAGTAACGGGATATCATGAATTTAGAATTTACTTATTTATTTTTTAAAAATATAAATCACATTGGATTCAAGTACATTCTCTGGTGGCTCAGATGGTAAAGAATTCACTTCCAATGCAGGAGACCTGGGTTTGATCCCTGGGTTGGGAAGACCCCCTGGAGAAGGTAACAGCTACCCACTCCAGTATTCTGGCCTGGAGAATTCCATGGACAGAGGAGCCTGGCAGGCCAGTCTACGGGTCCCAACTGAGTGACTTTCAACTTTCATGTCACTATAGCTTCCATAGATTCTAAAATCCAAGATTATCTCTGTGGACACTGAGTATTTCTTACCAGCTTTTATTGATCACCTATAAAGCTATTTTAAATACCATTGTTCATTTGTAACAAATTTCCATCACAGTTTGCTAAAAAGGTTAACAATCAAAATTTTACGTAATTACAGGACATCTTTTGTTTTGTTTAAATTTAGCATTTATTCATGCTAAAATTTAACTGAGCCCCCCCTAAATTTTACTTTAAGGGTAAGTTCACCAACCTTTGAAATATACTATAATTGTTGACTCCAATGATTAAGATATATTTTATAGTGTAAGTTTTTATGGCTTTGACATAAGTATTTTGTCGTATACACTTTGAAGTGGTTAAAAACCGTCCTTGTCAGGACGTCCCTGAAGTGGGTTTGACCCCTGGTCTGGTGGACTGCCCCCGCCAGCGCAGCTAAGCCTGTGTGCCCTGACTACTGAGCCTGTGTGCCTAGAGCCTCACCAGTGAGAGCCCTGTGCAGAGCCACGAAGAGGGGCCCCACTTGCCTTAACTAAAGAAAGCGTGCACACAGCAATGAAGAGCCAGCGCAGCCAGAAATAAAACAAACAAATAATGTTACAAGTTGTCTTTCAAGTCTTCTAAATCAAGATGTATGAAAATAAGTCAAAGAATACAAAAATGGCATTTCTGTATGCAATAATTTTTTATGTTCACTTGATAATCTCATGAGATTATTTTGAGTAACATATGCTTGTAGAAAGTCAAATCAAGATTTCTAAATTCCAATTATTTCTATTTTATTCTTGTTACTTATTTCACAAATGTTAATTCTGTACCATTAAATACTATAATTACCTCACAAAAACTTGAGAAACAAGGTAATCTAATAAATCAGCCATTTTGATGAACGATCAGCCATCACTGTGTAAATCATTGCTATATAGCACTTCTAAATCTATATGTTAAATACCTTTAAAAGTTTACACTGTTCATAAATTGTCTTACATAACCCAAAGTGTAATTCAGGAATTGGGGATGTCATTTTACGAACACTGAGTTTTTACTCTAGAGTGCTTATAAAGCCCTGATCACTTGATGTTTACAATTATTTGGTTTCTGAATAACGAGTATGCACTAACTATAACAAAAGTAAAGAGGAAGAAATATAAAGAAAAAAATCTTACCCAAGTATTTTTGCACAATCATCATAATACTTCATGGAATTTTTCACAAAACTGAAGCCATTGACATCACAGACATAGGACTGTCCATTGGCCCGTAGCAAATCAAAGCCACAAACTGTTTGCTATTTAAAATAAATTATACACTTTAAAATTCCATTTAATTAAGACTGAGTTTTCCAGTCTTATTAGAATACAAATTTTATAAGTGCCCTTTACTTCAGAGTAAGTAAAAAACAAGGAAGCTACTTATTTGTAACTTGAATACTCTAAAATATATAGCACATGTCACATGATTATTTAAATTCTTCCTATGAAGTAAATGTAGAACAATAATGCTTAAGAGACTAGAGAGGCCAAGAAAGCAAGAAGGTTTTCAATTAGTGTTTAATTAAAAAACAAAAGTAAAAAATTTTTAAAGGCTTTGATAAATTTTATGCTAGTAGAAATTCTATTAAAAAAAAAAATCCAAAAAGAAAAAAAAAGAGGAGAAAGCTTTGAAGACACAGCCCAGAAGAAATGTCCAATTATTCTCATGAATCTTTTAAACTCTGACAACTACACACTTGTGAGCTCCTGAAACAAATTAACTTTATCTGGGAGATAACAGTTAGAAAAGTATAAATTTCCTGCTTAGGCTCTAGGAATTTTCTGATCTTCTAGGTTTTATGTTCAAACCATCATATATTAGTATAATATGATTTTACGTTATGGCTTTTGGAATCCTGGCATTACAAAATTAGAACATTTCATATAAAAACCAATTAATATAAAGCTATTAAAACATACTTCAGGTTAAGATTCCTTCCATGAGAGACTTCAAATCATTAAGACACAAAAAATTTATTATTTAATAACTAGCAATATATACTAGTTTTAAGTTATATACCCAAGACAATGCTTCTACAAGGTAAAGTTTATCCTCTATGAGATGTAAGTTGTACTACTTCTGTTTTAATCTTTACTGCACAGGATATCAAACTCTAATAATACAGATTGAGAGAACAAGTCAAATATCTAAGTAAAAAGTTTTCTTTAAAAAGTGTATTAGAAAAAAATAAAATAAAAAGTGTATTAGTAGTTTTCATGAACATATTTTACTATATTTAACAGGCCAAATGATCAACTGTGAAGGCTAGAAGAATTCTTTTTTTTTAAAAAAAAATCATATATCAATTCTATGAGTAAATACTTATAACCAGTTTTGTTACAGGAGTATATTAAAAAAATACTCCTATAACTCTACCATTTCAGTTGTTTTCTTCTACAATTGTAGTTTCGGAATAAACTGTCAGTATCCTTCTATATAATGAAGAAAGAATAAGAAGGAAAGGCCTTCATTTATTATATATTCTTATTAATGGCACTACAAGAATCCTTTGTAAAGTTCAAAAAAAACTATTCAGATATACTATTTTATTTTCTCTACTTATCTTTCCTATTATAAGCCCAAACAACATCTCTTTCACTCAAAAAAGAAAATTCAAATTTTTGCAAGAGTCTACATGACCTGCATAACATCTTACCTTAAAAGCAAGGCAGACTTTCCAAGCAATTAGTTTCTCTCGAGCATTGAGAATAACAGGGTATCTTACTTCTTTTCCTTCACTATCTCGTTCCACCTTGCCATCAAGTGCAGGAGATTTTCGAGCTTCAGCATGGGCATAGTCTGGACCCACTGTATAAACCTTTCAGAAATGTCAAAATGTATATATTATTTTAAAAAGATATATATGTGAATATATAACAGCAGGCAACAAATTCAAATAAAAAATACCTCTGTTTCCAGGCAGTATTTTTTGACACATCTTTCTATTTTACGTGTGAAAATTTTCAACATTGGAAGAGGTTATAAATAATTTTACAGCAAAACTGGTAAAATGAGGATCTGTTCTCTCTAAAAAATAATTATGCTGAACATTATAAGGGACTACTAGAATGCATAATGCTGTGATCCTTCTCGAACTGTTCAACAAAAGAGAGGTATAAATAACTAAAAAATTATAGAAGAAAGTAACTGCCAAAATAAAGATCTAAGCATGGAAGGAAGATTTATAAGGGCAGCAAGAATTCAAAAGCAGACAAGAGAGGGAAAGGCACTCTAAGCAAAGCTAATAAATGCAAAGGGCAGAGGAATGAAACAGCATGACATATTCAGGTGAGAGTTTGTTATTTGCTATGGTTTCTACTGTATGAAATAAGGTTTGTAGTACAGAGGGCAGGCCATGAAGTATCTCGTACGCCAGCCTTAAAAATCTGATTAATTACCTTGTGGTCAATGAGGATCCACAAGAAAATTTTTAAGAGGAGGCTCATGATTCAGTTTACATCTAGGAAAGAACTCTCTATTAGACTCAGAGAAGCAAAAGGCAAGGAAAAAGGGAAAGATACACTCAACTAAATGCAGAGTTCCATAGAATACCAAGGAAAGATAAGAAGGCCTTCTTAAATGAACAATGCAAAGAAACAAAGGGAAACAACAGAATGGGAAAGACTGGAGGTCTCTCAAATACTACTGGAGATATCAAGGGAACATTTCATGCAAGGATGTAAACATGAAAGGACAGAAAGCCTAAGAACCTAACAGAAGAAGAGATTAAGAAGAGGCAAGAATACATAGAAAAACAGTACAAAAAAGGTCTTAATGACCTGGATAACCATGATGGTGGGGTCACTCACCTAGAGCCAGATATCCTGCAGTATGAAGTCAAGTGGGCCTTAGGAAACATTATTATGAACAAAGCTAGTGGAGGTGATGGAATTCCAGCAGAGCTATTTTAAATCCTAAAAGATGATGCTGTTAAAGTACTATACTCAATATGTCAGCAAATTTGGAAAACTCAGCAGTGGCCACAGGACTGAAAACAGGTCAGTTTTCATTCTAATCCCAAAGAAGTGCAATGCCAAAGAATGTCTGAACTACCCACGCAACCGCACTCATTTCACATGCAAGCAAAGTGAAAGTGAAAGTTGCTCGGTCGTGTCTGACTCTTTGAGACCCCAGGGACTATTCAGTCCATGGAATTCTTCAGGCCAGAATACTGGAGTGGGTAGCTTTTCCCTTCTCCAGGGGATCTTCCTAACCCAGGGAACGAACCCAGGTTTCCCACATTATAGGTGGGACTCTTTACCAGCTGAGACACAAGGGAAGCCAAAGAAAACTGGAGTGGGTAGCCTATCCCTTCTCCAGCGGATCTTCCTGACCCAGGAATCGAACTGGGGTCTCATTCATTGCAGGCGTATTCTTTACCAACTAAGCTATCAGGGAAATCCATGTGCTAGCAAGGTAACACTCAAAAATATTGTCACCCTGCTTATTTAACTTATATGCAGAGTACATCATTTGGAATTCTGGGCTGGATGAATCACAAGCTGGAATCAAGATTGCTGAGAGAAATTTCAACAACCTCAGATATGCAGATAACACCACTCTAACAGAAGAGTTGACTCATTGGAAAAGACCCTGATGCTGGGAGGGATTGGGGGCAGGAGGAGAAGGGGACGACAGAGGATAAGATGGCTGGCTGGCATCACCAACTCAATGGACATGAGTTTGAGTAAACTCCGGGAGTTGGTGATGGACAGGGAGGCCTGGCATGCTGCGATTCATGGGGTCGCAGAGAGTCAGACACGACTGAGCAACTGAACTGAACTGAACAGGAGAAAGTGAAGCGGAACTAAAGAGCCTCTTCATAAAAGTGAAAGAGGCAAAGTGAAACAGCTGGCTGAAAACTTAACATTCAAAAAACTAAGATCATGGCATCCAATTCCATCACTTCATGGCAAATAGAAGGGGAAAAATGTGGAAACTGAGAGACTATTTTCTTGGGCTCCAAAATCACTGTGGACAGTGACAGCAGCCATGAAATTAAAGATGCTTGCTCCTTGCAAAGAAAGCTACGACAAACCTAGACAGCGTATTAAAGAGCAGAGACATCAATTTGCCGATAAGGGTCCATGTAGTCAAAACTGTGGTTTTTCCAGGAGCCATGTATGGATGTGAGAGTTGGATATAAAGAAGGCTGCATGCTGAAGAATTGAGAGTCCCTTGAACAGCAAGGAGATCAAACCAGTCCATCCTAAATGAAATCAGTCCTGCATAGTCATTTGAGGACTGATGCTAAAGCTAAAACAGCAATACTTCGGCCACCTACTGCAAAGAACTGACTCATTAGAAAACACCCTGATGCTGGGAAAGACTGAAGGCAAATGTAGAAGGGAGCAGCAGAATATGAGATGGTTACGTAGTATCACCAACTCAATGGACATGAATTTGAGCAAATTCCAGGAAATAGTAAAGGACAGAGGAGCCTGGTGTGCTGCAGTCCATAGTGTCGCTAAGAGTTGGACACAACTTAGAGACTGAACAACAAGTCAGACAGAGTGGCTAAAGGTAAAGCAATTAAGACCTTAATTGTCACCAACAGAAATCACACCTATTTTTTTGTAGTCACATTAAAGTTGTCAAAGCTCTCTAAACATTTTTTACACCGACTGATGCTTAGAAACTGTGGTGGTGATTAGACTCTAACCCACTATATTTTGGATTGATTTTTAAATATTTTGGTTAACTTTATTTCAGTAGAACTTGTCTCCACTGTAATCCTGTGTGGTTTACTTTAAGCACTGAAGAATATTATTCTATAAAAAGGATCCATAGGCTTAGATTGCCAAAGACATTCATAATGTAAATAGAGTAAGAATACCTAGTTATAAAGAAAGAGAGCCAAAATAGAGGGCAGAGATAGCTAATTAAAGGGACTTCCCAGATGGCTCAGCAGTAAAGTGTCTGCCTGCCATGCAGGAGACCTGTGTTCAATCCCTGGGTCAAGAATATCCCCTGGAGAAGGAAATGGCAACCCACTCCAGTACTCTTGCCTGGAAAATCCCACTGACAGAGTGCCTGGCAGGCTACAGTCCATGGAGTTGCAAAATAACCAGACATGACTTAGCAACTATATAACAACAACAGCAGCAGCTATTGTAAACTCTTTTTCTGGTATCACTGGTAAACTCAAAATACAAACTTAAAATATACTTTAATCAATCCTACCTTAACATCAGTACCATCTGTAGGCATAAACTCTTCATATATATAGGAGCCTGTTTTTCGTACATTGCTTTCTGGGGAGTAAACACTACTTCTACTGCCAATCTGAAAATAAAAGAAGTCTATCAACATAAAAACCAAATTATTTTCCTCTTTTTATAAAAAATCTTCTCTTTTACCATTTATTTCTATCATTGATATTCCAAAAATTTTTTTTAAGTCTACAAATATTTAACAACATGTTATGTAGTTGACACTATATTATTTCCTGCTATAACTTAAAACAGCATAAAAATACAATGAACACTCAGAACAGTGTTTCTAAGATTCAACCAAGCAGGTAACTCTGCTTTGTCACTACTACAGAATTTTCCTCTGTATAATATTCAGTAATTCATTCACTTGCCTATAATATATATCTAGGCAGGCTGTTGTCTAAGATTTAGCTAGTAAGGAAATGTTGCTTCGAACTTTCTTTTAAATATTCCTGGGACAAGTATGTGCAGGAGTATTCTGTGGCATATACTCAAAGTGAAACCACTAGTGACAGAATATGCTCACATTCAACTTACAAAATAATGCCAAAATCTTTTAAAAACCATTTTTAATTAAGAGTCTCTCCAGCAATGTGTAGGTATTCCCACTGATCTACAATTATCTATAACTCGGTATTGTCAGACCTAATATTTGCCATCCTAATGGACATAGAACAAGTACCTCAGTGTGTTCTTGCTTTGCATTTCCACGATTGCTTACATGTGCACTTTTAATACTGACATACCGCTAAGTTACATTTTAGAAGAAATACTGCGATAACAACATCTGGGCTTATGCTCGTTTTCCAACTACCTCAATTTTTTTGATCTTGCTAATTCAAAAAGTAACTTAATGTCATTATCTTTTAGACTTGATTTACGTTTTTTTTATTACGGGTGCAATTTTGAGCATACTTTTAAAAGATCACTAGTATTATTTTTTCTAGGAACTATTCATTTGTAGGCCATTTTTCTAAAAAAATGCTGACCTTTACCTGAAATTCTCATAAGACAGATTCATAAATGGAAGGTAGAAAGAAGATCAAATAACTTTCTTGGTATTTTGTACGTAAATTTAATAACAAAAATGATGCCGTTTTTCCTTTAACAAATGATGACATCAAGTTTATGAATTTATCTCTCAATGATACATTCTTAAACATAGTTTTACTAAATACTTGATTACTTTTAGTAAAGTTTATGCAACAATGTATAAAGAACAGTAGTCACTAGGCTAACAAAGGTTTACCTTTCGAAAAAGTCTTTGACTTCCACCACCAGCAGAGGTTGGATAATAAATGTAAACATTGTGATCTTCTGCACTGACTGGCTTTTCTACAAAAGGCTTTTGGAAAACTTCCCCATTTACTTCTACATGATCTTCGCCTTCAATCAGATTGCATTCTATAAATCAAACATAATATCAAGAAAAGTTACAAACTGCTTAGTACCTAGATATAACCACAGTACTATTATTATTGAGGACTGTTTCACTAGAACAGAGGTTACAAAGAAACCTAACTGTGGATGAGGTAGTGGTTTTTTTTGTGGTTGCGCTGGTCTTCCGTGCCGCACACGGGCTTTCTCTAACTGCAGCCAGCAGGGCCTCCTCTCAGTTGCGATGCATAGGCTTCTCCCTGCAGTGGCTTCTCCTGTGGCAGAGCACCGGCTCTGGGTGTGTGTGCTTTAGCAGCTGCAGTTCTGGGCTCAGGAGTTGCGGCACACAGGCTTAGTTGCTCTGTGGCACATGGAACCTTCTTGAACCAGGGATCAAGCCCTTGTCTCCTGCGTTGGCAGGGGATTATTTACCAATGGACTACCAGGAAAGTCCTTGATTGATTTTAATTAAAAATATTTATGCAAACATATGCCAGCATTTATTATCTATGATGACATAAGGAACTATATTCTTCAAAAATCTAATGGACCTGCTATAATGCTGGTATCTAGGTTTTAATCAAAGTTGCTCTAATGTACAATAGGTCATTAAAACTTCCCAAAATACTGTTATCAAAATATTCAATATTAAAACAAATAAGCATTTATCTTGCCCTTTTACACTATGTGTAACTTACATGCTATGCTGTAAATAAGCAGGAAAACAAAGCAAAAGGAGCTTTAAAATATTAATATTTCAAAATTCTTACTCATCAGAAGTTTAGTTGTGCCATACTAGCATGAAGTTTCTAACACTTAATTCAACTGTTATAGACTCGCTTACCCCAATCAATACAAATTTATTAAGTATGTAAAAATTCTCCCTTATGATTCTCAGATATGCCAAACATGGACCCAATAAATATATGATATACACCTCCTGGTTATAGTTAGCCTTCTGGCTCATAATGTCCCATTTTAATTGAAATTTGCCTATTTGGATCATTTTTAAAAAATTGAATAGAATGCATAAGCTGTTTAAATTCTATTTAATTATGGAGGAGAGTGGCTCAGAAGTCTTTGTTAAGAGACTTTTAAAACAGCTTGTTTAAAATCTCTTACTCTTACCTTTGGGATTATTTGGGTCACGGTTCAAAATTGCATAACGAGGAAGCAAAATACCTTCAGCTTGAAGAATACTATACACTTCTCTCCTGAAGAAAAAAAGAGAATACCCTTATTATTTTGCTAATGTTTCATGATAAGTATGTACTATTCATAAAGTATATTACTACTTTTCTACCACTAAAAAAGTCATGTATATAGTCTTTATTTGTAAGTAAACAAATGTCATTTAAAATACTGAAGAAATATATTCTAAGGAAATATTCAGTAATATTAGAAGTGTATGCACAAAACTTTCTGTGGCATATTAAAATACTAATTTTTTAAAACTGGGAATATAAATGTATAAAAAAGAAATGGCTAATTAAAGTTGCTATATCACAGTGACAAAATATCACCTAAAGTATTAAAAATCTTATATTCAAAGAATATTTAATGACACGGAAAAATGTTTATGGTCTTTAAAGAGACTACTGATCCTAATTCTGTTAAATGTGAGTGCATATATGTATTGCTTTCTATATGAAAAAATATGGTAGATATAGCGCCAGGGTTAAATTAAATGCCTTTCTTCATTTATTTCCTAAATTTCTCAAAATGAATGCAGACACAGACACACACATATATATGCACTCCCACATATATTCACATTTGTAATATACAAACATCTATCAATAGATAGATATTAATAACAGTACTAAGAAAGAAAAAAGCAAATAGAAAAATAAAAAACTATAAGACCTTACATTTTATATAGCATTTTCTTAGATATAATCTCTTACTGTAATGCTAACACAGAATAAAATATTATGCTAGTGAAATTATAAGGGTAGCCATTAATAGCATCAAATAAATGCAATATATGCATTTGTATTTTACAATTTCTCTTAAATATCTATGTTTTTGATCTGTTAAATGAATTGCTAAGATATATAGTAACATATTTCTCAAAATGGTTCCACTTTACCATAATTTCTTCATCTATAAAACTGGATGCAAGCATGCATTACTAAGTATTATTTCCAGGACACCACAAATTTACACATATATGTATTTATAAAAGCACTGGAACTGTGCCGGCTTAGGCAGATATGAAATCAATGTTGATTTTCCTCCCTTACTGCAGCCACCTGAGCCACTCACCTATCTTGTATGAGATACTGCATATTCAAGTCGTTGATTACAAATGGGTTCCGGAGTTTGGCATAGGCAACTGCTTTGTCCAGTGGAAATCCTAAGAATACATATTATTAACATATTCTGTACAATCTCAAGATAAGTTGACATCTCTAACTTAATCAACTTTAATTTATGCCACATCCCATAAAAGACTAAGTTCATTATGCATATAGCTGTTTTTTATAAGGCAAAATAATAAATACAAAAAACTTGATTATCTTGTACTATTAAATAAATCTTATTTTTTCTTAATTTGATTGGTAAGGCACAGCAAGCCAGTGGTTATATAACTCCATTTAGAGTACTGATATGTTTAGTTGATGCTTCCAAGTCAGCTGATAGAAGGTAAGACTACCTCATATACAAACAGAAATCTACACATAAATAACACAATTGTATTACAATCATCTGGTGTTCTTTTTAAAAAGGTTTATGTGACTCCTCACTAAAGATATTTTGATGCTACACACACAAATTAGCTGATAATTCAAAGAACTGAGGCATCTTTAAAAACAGCAAAAGAAAAAATTAATTTATATTCAACAGACATGCTCTAAATATAAAATATATGAGTAGAACATGCTTGCTGCTACTGATATTAGGTCAATGTTAACACACCAGAAATTAAGTTCTTAAAATTTCTAGACTCTGGTAAAACTACTAATTACAATGAAAAACAAATCAAAAGGCAGATATAAGAGATTTTTTAAAAAATCTAAATTATTTTAATGGTTATACTTCACTTTCTGTATTGATACTAAAAGACTCCAATTTTATCCATCAACATGTATGATTAAGAATGGCAGGATACAAGAGAAGTTAACAGCATAAACTAGGGTTCAAATCCTAACTCTATCTTTCATCAGCTGTGTGACCTTGGGCAAGTTTATTTCATACCTCTAAGTCTCTGATTCCCAGCTGTAAAGGAATATTTTAACAGTCTTACCTAGAAAGGTTTTTGAGAAATCAAATAAAATAGTCCAAATGAAACATTTATTACAGTATCTGGCATAATAAATATTCAATAAATGTTAACTTATTATTCCCTAAGTAACTATTTTAATACATTTCTTATCTAAGGAAAAGGGTAACAGTCAGCAGGCATATATAGTATTTAACTACAGTATGCAACAGTGTATCTGTGAAGACACTATTTTGTAGCATTATCAGAATAGTTAAGAGAGGAAGTGTTAAACTTGAAGTTAAAAAAAAAAAGCTATTGGTTAAAAAAGATTTATTTCTAAATTAACATTTAAATACTCTATACCAAGAATCACCTGGCCATAAATCACAGACCCTTCCAGTTTTATGACTAAGAATTCATCACTTACTGTAAAGATATTACAATGTCTATGGTTTAAGCCTTCCAACAGAATTCAGGAAATAAGAAACCCCTATATAGTCATTATCCTGCTTTGGCTGCTGTTAAAGAGACAGCATATGGGATATGACCTTAGGTAGTAGCTAGATTTTATAAGTAAATAACTAACTTTTACTTAATAAATATGAAGAACCATGTGATGGTAAGGGAAGAACACCTTACCCTCCTGGTTAAGCAAACTTTTAAGATTCTCTGAAATGAGTATCTTCAAACTGTAAAAAAGACCAGGGCTTTGTCTTCTCCATGAAATGATGAAAATCAATATACATATCTCGTCTATGGGAATACAGTTTTGACCTGCTGCATCCCCTTATTGTTAAAGGTGATGCTTTTTAAATACCTAACTACAGTGAAACTTTAACACAGCTGGAGGCCACACAGTTTGCTAACAAAAATGATTTACTGTGAACACATTTATTATATAACTGAGTACATGTATTTTGGAGTTCTAAGTGAAAATTCAGATTCTTCGGTTATAAATTTTCAGATATACACTTAATAACTTTTGATTAGTGCACTCTGACTGACTCTGCAACCCCATGGACTGTAGCCTACCAGGCTCCTCTGTCCATGGGATTCTCCAGGCCAGAGTACTAAAGTGGGTCGCCATTCCCTTCTCCAGGGTTTCTTCCCAACCCAGGGATCAAACCCGGGTCTCTGGCATTGCAGGCGGATTCTTTACCATCAGAACCACCAGGGAAGCCCGAAGTAATACTTAAGCTTAATTGATATTTCAGTGTGATTTATAAAAAACAGCAAACAAAATAAAAATTCAAATATTATGTTGTTAAGAAATAAAGTATGAATAAGTATAGGAAGAATGATAGATCATTTTCTGTATGGCAAAACATACTGGTTTATAATACTCAAAAATCAATAATTTATCCCAAGAAACTTGAGTTGCAAACAAAGATATACATTCAAAAGTTCATCACAGCCCTATTTTTAATAGTAAAAAATGGAAACCATCTTACTTTTAGGATATTAGTTAAGCATGATATATTATATCTGCAGGATGATACATGATCATACCATTGAAAACTAGCTTTTTTGACAAATGAGTTAAAAGGAGAAAACTGCTTGATATAATTAGGTTAAAAATTAAATATAAAATTATATATACACTATAACATTAAATATGTTTTTAAAAAATAAACAGAAAAAAAGACTGAAAATATATCAAAATGTTAACATCACTTATCTGTGAGACTAGGCGAGTTTAATTTTATTTTTCTATTTTATCTACTAGTTTTATAGTCAGAGAAAATGAAGAGGTTTCCCTCCCTGTTTTTTAAATACCTTTAGAATGAAAAGAAATAAGACAATCACACAAAGGCCAGTTTTCCACTGGTTCATTCAAAATAACATCCTCTTCAAATACTACTACTGTGATATATTTAAATAAGGAGATCCGTTCGAGAATTTCCTTCATTGGTTTGGATTTGGATTTCTTTGCCATGGAACATATTCCAACCACAATCTGCCTTTCCGGAGGCTGAAACAAAAAGAAAACAAAAATAAGGTTGACTTGATAACATCTCCAAAGTACAGCTATCTTAAATCTCTCTCAGCAGTAGATAAAGCATGCAATGAATCAACAGACGTGACAAATTAACCACACGGACATTTTTCAAGATTATACTGTTGTTACAAAAAATAGGTTTATACAAAGGTCTGGAAAGAATTTTTTTGAGTTTCAGAACACCACTACAATTTTCATTCAGCTTTCAAACTTAAATATTTCTTTAACTGGCTCAGGCATTTATTTGCCTTCTTCACACCAAAAAAGAGCAAATAAGGCCTAAAATAAAAAGGACAATGGGAGATAGATAAAGAACTCTCTTCCCTAAAATAAGACGTTCTCACTACAAAGCTATGCAGAGTTAAACTACTTCTGTAGATCAAGTTTGAATGTATTTTGATCACCAATGAAAACTTAAAAGGAAATTTTAGAGGAAGCCACAGTGCTAAACAGAGGTGTCTATGCTCTTGACACCCCAATCTTCACACTCAACACTTCTAGTTTACAGTGTTGCTCAACCCTGGCACCCTTGCTACAGCTCAAACGCCATGATTTAGCCTGAAATTTAAAATGCAGAGTATAGAAACAACTTATGAAGTTCTATAATTATTCAAGATTCATCCTAAGGCCTTTGCATTCAGATACTTCGAGCTTTATCAAATATAAAGCAGCATCCAGTTTTCCATTTCGGTTCTCTCTTCTGTTTTTCATATGACATTATAATCCAGGCTCAAAAGTGTTTCACTAGACTCTCTGATTATAAATCTAAAAGTAACCCTGGATAATACCTGAATTGTTCTTCTTCATGCTTAGCATTGTTTCTTTATTGCCTCTTCTCACTCATGAAATTTAGAGTTCAAAATTGGTAATGGATTTGATGTTACCAAAGATTGTAAATTCTAACCTCCCTAGGATCTGCTTTCACTCTCCAATCATTCAGTTTTATGTTCTTCAATTCTTTCCTGATCAAAAGCCTTGACACAACTCATTATGATGTTCCTAGTGTAGACCTCCGCAGACAACAAGAGTACTCAGCCTCACATCTTTGATATCTTAAAAACAATCTACAACATATCATTTCCTCAACCTACTGGTCAAATGAACCAAATCAAGTTCCTCAGAAGTAACAACTATGCACCACCAATGTGAACTCTATTTAATTAATACCAGCATTCCAAGAACTATGCTAAACACTGAAGAGTTTCATACATAGAATCTACCTGTCTTCAAGCACTCTGACAGGGAACACAGTAATACAGTTCATAAAGATAACAGAAGTACAGACGTCAAAGTATGGAAGTACTACTGATGCAAAAGCATTCAAGTTCCTCACGGGAAAAGGAGCCAAGGAGAGGGGAAACAACAGGAAATCTGAGGTTCTGAAGAATAGCAAATCATTCACGAGGTGTCCGAGGAGGGACATTTCACAGAGGTCAAGGAGCGCTTACACTAGTAAAGAGGCACAGGACAGATGGGGCATGTGGGGACAATCTGGTACTGCTGCAGCATGAGAGGTGGGAGAGCAGACAGACAAGTGCAGTTCTAGACACAGGAGGGACAGAAGTCCTTCTATGGAAGAAGACTGGACGGGGTGTATCAGTGCTTTCTCAATGTGCCCAGAAGAACCCTAACTAAGAGCTAAGAGTAGCAGAGGCAAAATCAATGGTACTTTCCTGTCTAAATCAGTCAGAGAAGCTCTGCTTTTATGTTTTAGAGACTAGACTTTTTTACATGACACTTGAGATGAAGAAGTTTTAGCTGATATGAAGTTTGAAAATCACTGTTTTTTCCCGAGGGGTGAGATGTGGGGTGGGATAGATTTTAAAAGGGTGACAGCCTGATTTTGCATTTCAAATATGTCTCACGGTGGTGAGAGCTGTTATTAAATAACTATGACAAAATTTGAAGTCATCTAATAACTATTTTTAGTACATTTTTACTACTTAAATCAAGGATAACACGTTTTTGTTTTAAAATGAAATTATCTTTTCAATTGGGAATATAAGAAAAACATATTTTATGTTTGTATTTTAAATCAGTTCTGTATGTGTAAAGGGACAAAAATGATGAGCAATAAAAATGTTGAGCTAACCATAGCAAAATAAACATAATAAATGTGTATTAAAGATTTTGTATGGTTTATACATACACACACACAAACTTTTTATTGCTCATCATACAAGGAACTCTTTTGATTTATGGCCCTAATTACTCCTTCTCCTTGTCACCTTTTCTCCCCAGCCCTGTGTTATGCTAGGCATATCACTGAAAGACACTAAAATAGTCATTTGAAACAGCTTAGAAATGTGACCTTAATCGTCTTCCTGAAGCACTACAGAGTCAATAGTGTTACTAATGAAACACAGTACGTCTTTTCAGTTTAAAAATTTCCAACAAAATTCAATGTGGGAAAAAAAAAAGTCTTCCCTTGTTTAAGACAATGGTATCAATTCCCCTTCACAGTGATCAGTAAAAATCTTACTGGTCTTCAAGCAAACACTTACAGACTCATCTTCCTCCTCCTCATCTTCATCTGCATGGTGGAAGAAGTGTCGATAATTTCCAGCGTTTATTTCTGTATCTTCAGGTCCAACAAAGAATCTGGGGGCTTCACTCATTTTTATTTCATTTGACATAAATATAATTGAAACGTGCTATGCTAAAACTGTTTCTACATAAACAGTACCTGAAAAAAGCATTCTCCCTATACTAACTGACACATGGGTCTGTTGCAGCTTGTTTCTGCTTATACAATCACTTGAACGTGTGGTGACAGTTAGTTGGCAAGTGTTCATGTGTTCTCAGATATCATTACTTCATTGTTGATGCAGTTTAAAAGACAAAGATAGTGAGGTTACTTCTTCGGTGAGTTGATGTGGCAATCCTTTTACCTAAAAGGCAATGAAAAAAGTAATTTTGGAGACTGTACTTCAAAAACACTCATGTAAAAATAACTTCGACATTTGTAAAATCATTACCAATAACTTGATTTACAAATGAAAAGACATCTTCTCTTATAAACTTAAGAAATTTATACTCTCATTTTCAATATGCATCTTGAACATCTGACAAAGATGATACAAAATAACAAGATTAAAAAAAAAGACTACACTAAATTCCTTAAGTCTAAAAATGTTTAATGAATTAAGAGAAAATTACTCAAATTATAACAAAATCATAAAAAGACAAGTCTCTCTGGACACAGTTTAGTAATATCTGAAGAGCATGGAAAAGAATAGATGAAATATAATGCAGGCTTAAAAGCGACTGACAACTATACAACAATCTAAAATTACATTAAATCAATGTCTAAAAGGCTTCGATTTGTAAAAGTTCAATTTGCAAACAGGTTTTTTTGGGGACCATAACCATTCTGCATTTTGGTCTCACATATAAATCAACGAAACAATATTAGAACAAAAACAAGATTTCATTATAAAAGCAGCTCATAAACTTTTAGCGTCAAAAACTCTTTTGCAAAACTGTGTAATAACTATAAATGAAGTATAACCTTTAAAAATTGTGAATCACTGTATTGTATACTTGGGTGGACTCCGGGAGTTGGTGATGGACAGGGAGGCCTGGCGTGCTGCAGCTCATGGGGTCACAAAGAGTCGGACATAACTGAGCGACTGAACTGAACTTACACAATTGTTGGTTAATCACTAAGTCATGTCCAACTCTTCTGCAATCCCATTGACTGTAGTCCACCAGATTCCTCTGTCCATGGGATTTCCCAGGGAAGGATACTGGAGTGGGTTATCATTTCCTTCTCTAATAATCTTCTCACACAGGGATCAAACCTCCATATCCTGCACTGGCAGGTGGATCCTTTACCACTGAGTCACAGGGCAAGACCTAACTTACATAATATGTCAACTATACCTCAATTTATAAAAACTTAAAGTAAAAAATAAAGCCTAAAAAAAACCTCTTTGGCAAATCTACTAAAATCTATGAATCTTCTCAGAAAAAAATGCACATGTACACTAAATTCTGCAATTTAGAACATCAGTTTAAGAACTATCGTAACAGTGATATAACCACAAAATACTCCTTAGCAAAGCTGTTTACATGTACTCGGTTCCTTGGTTATGTTAAAACTAAAAACTACCATGATGAAACTACTGGATTAAAAGCAACCTAGATAGATGCCCATCAGCAGATGAATGGATAAGGAAGCTGTGGTACATATACACCATGGAATATCACTCAGCCATTAAAAAGAATTCATTTGAATCAGTTCTAATGAGATGGATGAAACTGGAGCCCATTATACAGAGTGAAGTAAGCCAGAAAAATAAAGACCAATATAGTATACTAACACATATATATGGAATTTTAAAAGATGGTAACGATAAACCTATATGCAAAACCGAAAAAAAGACACATGTACATAACAGATTTTTAGACTCTGTGGGAGAAGGCAAGGGTGAGATGTTCTGAGAGAACAGCACTGAAACAAGTATCCTATCAAGGGTGAAACAGATCACCAGCCCAGGCTGGATGCATGAGACGGGTGCTCAGGGCTGATGCACTGGGAAGACCCAGAGGGATGGGATGGGGAGGGAGGCGGGAGGGGGGATCGGGATGAGGAACACATGTAAATCCATGGCTGATTCATGTCAATGTATGGTAAAACCACTACAATACTGTGAAGTAATTAGCCTCCAACTAATAAAAATAAATGGAAAAAAAAAAATACCTACTGGATTAAACATCCTTAAGAGTTGAATGATAAGCTAGCTAGAATTGCAAAGCATAATGCCAAAATCCTATTCCTAAAGGTCTAACTCCAGTTTAATTGGTGATACCCTAAGAAAACATTAAAATTAGTTCACCTAGCCAGGTTTGCCTTTATCCACTTTTAAAACTGTAATTACATTGTTACGAAATTTTAAAGTTTGTGATTAAAGAATAAAAGCTGAAATAATTCACTTTATATATCAGTGCTTTTTATTCCTATTTCCCTTGCACTGTTTCATGTATAAAACATATGTGCTGAAAAAGAACAAAAGAAAGCTTCCAATTGTAAAACTTAAGAGGTAAGTTGATCTCAGTTTTCTTTTGTATCAAAAGGGAAACATCTTTGGTTTCTTTTTACTTTTTTACTCCTCCTATCCATCTAAAACTAGTCTAATATTTACTATCAGAAAGGGCATGTGTTTTAGAGTCAGATATACCTATTTAAATCTTTCATTAAATGACAAACAGATTGTGCTAGTTTCTCTAAGTCAGTTTCTTCATCTATAAAAAAAGAGTATCATAAAACCCTGTACCTTTGTGAAGAGTAAGTGTTTGGTACAGACTAAGCACTCAAACTTTCATTTCCACAGGCACTCTATAAACTACGCTCCCTACTAACCTAACATGAAAACCTAACAGAATGAATATTGCCCATTATTTGTGGATGTAAATCTATTAACAAATAGCTTTTAACCTATTATAGAGAAGGTACAGTATTAGATGTGGCAATACAAAGTAAACATGAACCTTTTTCTTAAGGAACTTAAGGTCTAGAAGGAAGACAGCCAAGTAAATTAACATTTTCTATTTTAGTGTGGTAAGTGCACTAACAAAGCTGGACAATAGAAATATGCAATAAGGCTTCTAGTCATCTAAGCAGGCAACAGAGAGAGCTGTTTATCAGTACATATAAAAGCATGTTCACTTATATATACATGTATGTATGCAAGTATGTATATATGTACACACTTTATGGCATTACTTTAAAATTGTACCTTTTTCTAATTTAGCTACTCTAATGAAAGCAATAAAAATCCTGTTCTACAGCCAGAATTTAAAATTAATCTTCAAAATTAGTGTCCATCATGAAAAGTCTAGAGTGCATAAAAATGAAATTTCAGAGATAAATAATACCATGACCCAGTGGCAGAACTACTGACTGTAGTTCTTCATTATGGAATTACTGGGTTGTATTTACTACTAGTCCCTTTACAATATATTTTCCCAAATTTTTGAGCTACTTTATACATGTATTATGTGTGAGTAGAAATATGCTTGTGGAGAAAAATGTGTATCCTATACATTTCTTCCAAGAGTATTAATTAATGATATATCTGTCCCCTTCTCTTCGCTTAAATTCTGTTTCAGTCTTCAACACTGCTTCAAGTATATAAATGTATGCCCCCATCTGATTGTGAGTTTAGGTCTGAAAGTCTCATTCACTCATTTGGAGAGAGACAACAGACAAATCAACAAATAAATGTATGTTAGGAAGACCTCAATAATATAGTGATATCTAAGTAGAAATCTGAATTAAATGAGGAAACCAGTCATGGAGTTATATGATAAGAGCATTCCAAATAAGAAGCAAACTATAAAGGTCCTAAAACGGATAAATATGTGGCATATTTCCCATGACCAAGGAAAAGTAAGGAGACCATTGCAGCTGGAGCAGAGCAAGAAAACAAAGAAAAAATGGCAGGAAATAAAGTTGGAAAAGTAACTAGGATGCATACAGAGGACTGAGAAACCACAGTGAGAGTTTTCAATTTTATTAAATGTGACTGGATTTAAAAGAATGGGAGTAGAGGCAAGGTATACTGACAATTCTTTAGGAGGGCTTTGCTATAAAGGTAGGCAAAGGCCTTCTTTTTTTTCTCTTTTGATATATGAATCATACTTACAAATACCAGAAATGGATTGAACAGACTAGTGGTTAAAAGTGTGGATTCTGGAGCCAAAAAGACTTGATGGTGAATCTTAATTCCAGTAGCTGTATGACCTTGGGCAAGTTAATTAACCTCTCAGAGCCTCAGTAAATTGTATCTATCTTCAAGTCTTTTTACAGATTAAGTTATATTTTAAAAGGTCTTATATCCCATTGCTCAGGCAATATTCCATACCAATTTTATCAAAACATTTGGGATGAGGGCCCATGTACTTTTATGGCTCCTCAGATTCTCATGTGCAGCTGAGTTTGAGAACCAGTGTACAACTCAAAAAAAGAAGGGGGAGTATAGAACAATGGAAGCACACAGTAAGCAAAACATGTGTTTGCTCCTTATGAGAGCATGCTATTATTATAGGAAATCTGATGATCTGATAAAAAACACAAGTGATGAAGCAGAGTCTTGTCTTCTTGATGCTTGGCACGTCAAACATCAAGTACCTAACAAATATTCCTCCACAAACCTTTCCTTAACAATTTCCAAGATTTTTTCTCTGAATCATTCACTTTGACTTTTGGTCACCTGCAACCTTGGCATTATTTAATTGTTTTGGTTACGTATATCCCTTCAAAATATGATAAGCTTCAAGAGAATGAACACTTATTCAACACTGTTACCTGGCAAGTAATTTGTTAACCCAGAGCCTCCCAACACATAGCCTCACCATGAATCAATACTTTAAGCATATGCCAAAAAAATTGTCTCAGCATTTTTGGGACCCAGAACCCCCTGGCCAGTTACTTCCAACACTGCTCTCTACAGTTTCTCCTGGAAACACTGCACTATCATTTTCTATGCATGCTCTAACAAGAAAGAAAGTTGGGAAGCAGTTATGACTTTGTGATTTTGCAATTATTCTCAGCAATCCTAGGATTAGAGATATTTTCCTCATTTGATAAATGCCTGCAGTACATAAAGGTCCATCATTATAAATGAGGACG